GACACGATACTGTAATCATATCTTACACATACATGATCTTCTCATTAACAAAATGCTGAACTAAAACATCACATAATTGAGTAATTGACTTTATATTCCACTATTTCATTGCTACTTTCATTTTTTTTCCTACAAGTTACCTTCCCTTCTTCTGTTTTATTGTTTTCATTTTTGTTCGCATTAACAAAACATAGCCAGCCTAAAACTTTAAAAACTCCCAATCATAAATCATAAGGGTAAAGGGTTAGGTGAGAGTAACTTAAATATGTTACTTAAACTATCCATACAATTGATACTTATCATCCATTGATCTTTAAAAATTCAATTTGCCACTCCCTCCTCCACCCACCTTGCACCCATCTTCCAGCCCATCACAATTCATATTGTCTCTATCATCTGGAGGTTAATTGATCTTTCTTCAAAAATTCAATTTGCCATAATCCTCTTATTTTATTTTATAATATGATTAGTTGGCTATTCATGTTCTTATGAATGGAATCATGGACAGAATCATAAAGAGAATTCACACAGCGAAAATATTACTAGTTAATTGACATATTCAAAATCTCATAACAATATGAAATAAATCTGAAAACCTATTGAATCACCATTTTTAAAACAAAAAAAGAGGTTATTTAACATCTTCTAATAAATTGACCGGCAAGTCAGGATTTGGAAAACTCTAAAACTGAGGAAGATAAAACTATTATGATCCTTATCATCTGCTTGACATCAAGTGTGATTTTTACTTCAAAGTATTGATCGCTGGTAAGACATACATTCATATAAATACCATATTCATTCATTGATTTGTCTATGTGGATTTCAAAAAATGGGTCGGATTCAGTGAAATTATTTACTAAAAATTAAGAATTATACAGTGCGGATTCGACATCCAAAACAACGAAAAATCAATAAAAAAAACAACAAATTATATAAAGAATTAATCGATCAAAGCCAATAACAGTAAAAATAGGGTTTTACATACCAAGTCTTCTTCTTCAGTCTGGCTCTTTCTCACAGATTACGTAAGTGAAGAATTAGGATTTGATATTGCGATTAACAACAAAATTTGGCGCGAAAGAACAGTGCCTAAACCCCATTTCCCACGCTTTTCATTGCCTTCTCTCTCGCTACTAAACAACACACGAGAGTAGTCCGATTAGAGTAAAAATTGAGATTCCACCGCACTGATTCTAACGAAGAAGAGCTTTAGGCAGCAGGAGTTTATCACCTGACCATGTCACGTGTGCATCACGTGTTATGATGTGTTAAATAACATTTTAGTCTCTCAGGTTTGGTGAAAATTTAATAGGTCCTAAGGTTCTAAGAAGTGATACTTTGATTAAAGAATTTATCGAGTAATGACATGTACATCCTTGAAACCAACAGATGTTAAGTAAAAACTGAATAATGAAACAATCTACCCAATGGAGCAGTCAGAGTGGCTGAATGATTTACCCAGTGAAATAGTAGTGTTATTAGACGCACCTTCGACGGTGGCACCCGGCCATTGTCAATGACTGTCGTCTGATAAACACCTTGTTGACCAATTCTAAAGTTTTTTAATTATTTAATTTTTATTATATTATTCATTTAATTAAAATCATTTATATAAAAATAAAATTTAAATTAACATTAGAGATCATTTTATAATTAATCAAAAGTACCTTTGAATTCTAAAAGCTACAAATACCTATTTAGGAATGCTTTTATAAAACAAATTATTTGCTGATTGCATAATCACTTTAGAGACCATAAAGTGATTATGCAAATTATAATACGTCCCAAGGTTTTAAGAAGTGATACTTCCAGGTTTGATAAGTCCCAAGGTTCTGCAAAGTGACACTTCCTATCCAGAATTTTTTTAGTAATGAGTCTAATGACACGTATCTATTAAAAACTAACGGATGTGTGTTCTAGTGGTAAGGCAATGAAATTGGTAACTGAGACAATATTTTAGCAGGATGAATTGTACCTTGTTTCATAAACTCAGCTGCCTGGAAAATATTGGTTCATAAGATCATAAATCCAACTTAGGAGCAAATAAAATTACCATTTCATGAGATCCAATTGTGATATTGTATAGAGAAAAAAAAAAAAAAAATGCGCCCATCAATCAGATATCATCCGGAAAATGTTTGTGACAATCAAGAGCGGGGTTTTATTACAATAGATTGCTGCAACAACACATCAAAATGAAACTTGTAAAACAAAAACGTAAAACTTGTAATATGCACTTTTACATGGTATTATATAGCCACAGCATAGCCATAGAAAGAAAGCAAACTAATTAAGCAAATACAAGAAACAAAAGCAGCCTCAGAAGGCAAAAACATTAGGAAAAGGCCAGAAAAAACCAACCAGAGTTTCACAAAGAAAACAAAAACCCAAATGGTAGCAGCTTACAAGAGTAGAAAGAGTAATCAACATCATTTCACTGCCTAGAAAACCAAACATCACCAACATTAGATAGTAACTATGTTGAATCACAACACAGAAAGCATCCAACAGGTAAAGATTATATAGCAGTAGTCGTCTTCATCTAACATATCTAATTCAATAGTTCAGCAACATAATCCGAATTCCAGGGAAGAAAATCCAGAGAATTTCGGAATGACAGCCATCACAACATGTGTCCACAGGCCAAGCTAAAAGGTTATCGTTAGTGTGTGCACAGAGAACAAGCAAGACTGAAACAATCACTGCAAATTTTGCAATTCTGAACAAAGCAGGTGGTATTATCTTCCATTGTTGGTCAGCTTGAACTTCTTTCATTACTTGGTTAGCTTCCTCCCACAGCAGAGTAATAATCCTGTTAATCCTATCCCATAAAGAATATCTCCTTATATGATGAACATTTTGGTGTGTTTTTGCAGCTTTGCTTTCCTTTCAATCATCTGGGAGAGCTGCAAACTGACTGGCATCAGAAAGAGGCAATTCCACATTTCAGGAATTGAATGAATAATTCATAAAAAGAATTGTGCAACCTGAAGTACATCCCATATGCATGGGATGGGCTGCTGCCTCGATCGGGCCTTTTTTCCTCGTCAGAGGAGAAATTAAAACTATCAAATGTCCTTCACCAGATGAATGCTTGATTTTAAGTAATAACAGCCAAACTGCAGAACATAGAGGGCATGGCATGGATTCACCCAAACATAGAGTAAACAAGACAAACCAAATATAATGACCCATATAAATTGCAGAAAGCTAGCTTCAGAGGGCAACAAAAACAAAGCTTTACCTTTTATGTAAGAAGATTTCAACCCCCAAGTTTCACTCAAGTGTTACTCGCTTCTTTTAGGATCCGCAAGCCTGTGTCAGCTCCATTCAGTAAACAAATTCGGAAAACTGTAAAATACAATCAACATTTCACATCAGTAATAACAATAAAAATAAATAAATGGCATAGCCCTACATTATTTCTACAAGTGAAAAACATTGCAAGATCATTCCCTGCATTATGACTTGAGATCATTGTATAATCATTTTCTTTTTGGAACAAAAGTCATATTTACGTGAAATTTATTAATAAGTTTAAAAATATTAATAATAATTTGGTGATTTTCATGGAGCTTTATTCAAAATCCTGATAAACCAATTAAATCATATAGATAGATAACGAGGTTAAAATGCATGTTTAAAACTGAAAATGCACAGCTAAAAGTAATACATATATGCAGATAACAAAGTTTAATAGAGTATGAGAAGCATCCAATGCTGGACACAGTTGTTACAAGATTTGACAAGTAATGATTTACTAAATAAATAAATTGAATTCAATGTTTGAGTCCACTTACCTTATTGAAGAAAGAACAAAGTGGCCAAATTTTTTGAGGGCATAACTATGAGAAAGCTACTTACGTTACTCGCATATGCGTTGAGTCCATAGAAACCATACAAAACAAGACTCGAGAAAATAAAAATTTAATAACTTTCTTTTATTAAGTTTTTGGCTAATTTAATACAACTTACGGTGCTTGTTTCATTGATCGCTTGTATATTTCTGAATGCAGAGACTAGCTATCTAAAATTTCTAATGATCTTTCCAAAATGTCCATTACTACATGGCTCCCTACTGAAAAATAGTCATCAGCAGATCAATTTACAGGTTTCAATCTCTGGTCTCTATCCACTTTTGCATATGTTCCCATTTAATTATCTTTGGCGTATGATAATTTGACTCCACACTTTTTCACCTTGCTGAAATCTGAAAGTCTTAATCACTTTACCAAGTTGATTAAACTTAAACAGAATGAGTTAACGTGTTCATTTGTGTATTTTGTGTTGACTTATTTAATATCAATACAAACAATGCATCCAAGAAAAAAAAAAAAGCACACTTTTGCATGGTTCGACAACTTACCTGCATCCATGAGATCATATCCAGATGAAACTAATTCATTGTAATAAACATTTATAATTCAATTACAAATTCAAAATTAAGTATCAGTTGTAAAACACTCTCTATTATAAAAACGCTTCAAACTTTATCTTTTTGATCGAACTTCAAACTACCGAGCTAGCTTTACTCCATGAGACCACCTAGTTACCTTTGGGTGGTCACCCTTTGACTCCACTCAAGGTTTAATGCCAAAGATAAACTTCACTTTCATTAGCTTGAAATCTCATCAAGCATTATCAATGAAAACCCACTTTTTAACCATGAAAATCACATCAAAGTTTAATAAAATATTGAATAGTTGTTTAGTACAATTTTTTTTAAAGGGATTTTAAAACAAATTAGTTATTTGATACATTTTCTAAAAATATTTATTATTTGATTTTGAAACCTTTTTTTTTTCAGTTTAAATAATAGTAAATAGTTGTTTGGTAATATTTTTAATCACTAAATTTAAAAAAAGGAAACAAAATCATCCAACTCTGTTACAATTCTTAGACTTAGATCATACCCCCATCAAATAAAAGTATTTCTATGAAAAATAAAATCGGAAAAAAAACATACAGATATATAATCACCGCACCTTACATTTAGATTTATGCTTGCAAAAATATTTTCTGCATGTATAATTATTTCACTAACATTTATATAAAAAATTATACAAAAATAAGAAACAAGTTTTGCCACTGTGGATTTTCTCTATTGGTCTCTAAATCATCCTGTATATTTCCTAGAAACAATATGAATCTGTTCCTCATGAAACAAAAGTGACAGCAAAAAATACAGCTCAAGCCATATCCAAAACCCAAAAAACTAAAATTCCTTCTACACATAACCAAGAGAGGCAAAAACGACTGAGCAGTTGCTCAATTGCTCTCAGTGAAATCCGCATCAATGACATCATCATCAGGTCCCTTGGTTGATGAATCTGATCGTCCAGCTTCAGTGCCGGGCGCAGGTCCAGCACCTGGTTGGTTGTAAAGGGACTGACCAAGTTGCATGACTTCTTGATTAAGGGCAGCCATGGTATCTTTCATTGCTTTGGTTGACTCTGTTGCAATTGCATCCTTGAGCTCCTTTAGTTTTGCCTCAACCTTCTCTTTGACTGGAGCCGAAACTTTGTCTGCAAGCTCCTTCAGCTGCTTCTCAGTCTGGTGAACGACGGAATCTGCCTGGTTTTTTGTGTCTATAGCATCTCTCTTTTCCTTGTCCTCCTGTGCAAACCTCTCAGCTTCTTGCACCATTTTCTCTACCTGAATATTTTCATTCAAACTTTCCTTCAGCATTATTCTATCATAAGTAATTAACAAGGCGTTTCAGTTAATTATCATGCACTTTTGAAGTCCATATGAACGCAAATTATCTGAAAGGAGAAACACTGATTTGAGTTTGGAAAGTTCCTCAAGACACTAAAGCAACAAAAGATAATCAGATTTTACTCATAGCTTATAAGGCATATTTAGCTCTCAACTATGACAATGACAGAAACTAGAAAATGCCAAACTTCTGAAAAACATAGCAGGAACTAATAACAAAAGAAAAGAATTTAAAGAATGATAGGTATATGCAGAAAGATCCTGCTGATGTAGAGAAAAACTAAAATGATAAAGAGTAATTATTGCAGCAAAGCATAAGATGAGGCATAACTCAAAAGCAAAAACTAAACAGCTATCAATTTACTAGTTATATCAAACATACCTCTTCTGTGGGCAAGGTGCTAGCACCTGTAATGGTGATGTCTTGCTTCTTGCCCGAGCCCTTATCAATGGCAGAGACAGAGAGAATACCATTGGCATCAATGTCAAACTTAACGTCAATCTGGGGGACCCCACGTGGTGCCGGCGGGATACCATCTAGACGGAATCTACCTAGAGTTTTGTTGTCCTTAACAAACTCCCTTTCACCTTGAAGGACATTAATTTCAACACTGGTTTGTCCATCTGCAGCTGTCGAGAAAATCTCTGATTTGGAGGTGGGTAGAGTGGTATTTCTTGGAATTACTTTGGTCATAACACCACCCAGAGTTTCTAGACCAATAGATAGCGGAGTTACATCCAAAAGCACAATGTCACTAACATCTCCAGCCAGAACACCCGCCTAGTTTCAAACAAAATAAAGTATGTAAGATGTTAGATTATGGATCTGAATGGAACACAACAAAATAATAATAATAATCATAAAATTAAATTAAATTAAATCCTTAAGTTTATCAACAGTTTGCTGTTATTTAAAATTCGCATAAAATCCATAATTGCCAATCCCTAATATAAGTCAAACCACCTCCAAAACTGACAAAGCTAGTAAAAATATTTCAATAGTGTCAAAGCTACCTGAACTGCAGCCCCTAGAGCAACTACTTCATCAGGATTGACAGTAACATTGGGTTCCTTTCCAGTCATCTTCTTCACCAAAGCCTGAACAGCAGGAATACGTGTTGATCCACCAACAAGGATCACCTCATCCAGATCGTTGAAGGAAAGTTTTGCATCACTCAAGGCGTTTTCAACTGGTTTCTTGAGCCTGTAAAAGGATAAATTACAGAGATAAGTCTCAAAAAGTATTAAGACCAGAAGCCATGAGTAGTACAGAAGCCAAAAGATAAAATGGCAAAAACAATACAAAGGTTGACTCACTGTAAAATAGAAATTAAAAAAAGTAAAGGTACCTGTCAAGGAGATTTGAACACAATTCCTCAAACTTGGCCCTAGTAATGGTGGTCTCTATATGTTTAGGACCATCTGCAGTAGCAGTGATGAAAGGCAAACTAACAAAACGGAAAAAAATATCAGTATGACATATGTACATCAGGGAGGGGTTGTCGATGTGCCTACAGAGAGAATCATCTAACTACAAGCAACATACCTGATGTTTGTCTGAGTCAAAGATGATAACTCCATTTTGGCTTTCTCAGCGGTCTCAGTTAGCCGTTGAAGAGCTTGTTTGTCCTTCAAAAGGTCCATGCCTTCGTCTCTCTTGAAGTTTGCAGCAAGCCAATCAACAATCCTCTGCAATCATATGTGATAAGTAAGTCCATTCAGCACCCAAACAGACTACAGATGAGGAAAAGACCATATACATGCATAAGAGCATATGAGGAAAAGATTCCAACCTTATCAAAGTCATCCCCACCCAGATGTGTATCTCCTGATGTAGACAGCACTTCAAACACTCCATCACCAACCTCAAGCACTAGAAATTCAAAAAATGGGATGGGCTGCTGCCTCGATCGGGCCTTTTCCTGTCAGAGGAGAAATTAAAACTATCAAATGTCCTTCACCAGATGATGCTTGTTTTAAGTTAATAACAGCAATTCAAACTGCAGAACATAGAGGGCATGGCATGATTCACCAAAAATAGAGTAAACAAGACAAACCAAATATATGACCCATATAAATTGCAGAAAGCTAGCTTCGGAGGGCAACAAAAACAAAGCTTTACCTTTTATGTAAGAAGATTTCAACCAAGTTTCACTCAAGTGTTATTCGCTTCTTTAGGATCCGCAAGCCTGTGTCAGTTCCATTCAGTAAACAAATTGGAAAACTGTAAAATACAATCAACATTTACATCAGTAATAACAATAAAATAAATAAATGGCATAGCCCTACATATTTCTACAAGTGAAAAACATTGCAAGATCATTCCCTCATTATGACTTGAGAGTTGAGATCAGTATAATCATTTTCTTTTTGGAACAAAAGTCATATTTACGTGAAATTTATTATAAGTTTTAAAATATTAATAATAATTGGGTGATTTCAGGAGCTTTATTCAAAATCTGATAAACCAATTAAATCATATAGATAGATAACAAGGTTAAATGCATGTTTAAAACTGAAAATGCCAGCTAAAAGTAATACATATATGCAGATAACAAAGGTAATAGAGTATGAGAAGCATCCAATGCTGGACAGAGTTGTTACAAGATTGACAAGTAATGATTACTAAATAAATAAATGAATTCAATGTTGAGTCCACTTACCTTATAGAAGAAAGAACAAAATGGCCAAAATTTTGAGGGAATAACTATGGAAGATACTTACAGTTACTCGCATATGCGTTGGGTCATAGAAACCATACAAAACAAGACTTGAGAAAATAAAATGTACTTTCTTTTTATTAAGTTTTTGGCTAATTTAATCCAACTTACCGTGCGTTTCATTGATTGCTTGTATATTTCTGAATGTAGAGACCAGCTACTAAAATTTCTAATGATCTTCCAAAATGTCATTACTCATGGCTCCCTACTGAAAAATAGTCATCAGCAAATCAATTTACAGGTTCAATCTCTGGTCTCTATCCACTTTTGCAATGTTCCCATTTAATATCTTTGGCGTATGTAATTTGACTCCACACTTTTTCACCTTGCTGAAATCTAAAGTCTTAATCACTTTAGCAAGTTGATTAAACTAAACAGAATGAGTTAACGTGTGTCATTTGTGTTTTTGTGTTGACTTATTTATAAAATACAAACAATGCATCCAAGAAAAAAAAAAAAAGCACACTTTGCATGGTTCGACAAATTACCTGCATCCATGAGCATATCCAGATGAAACTAATTCATTGTAATAAACATTTATAATTCAATACAAATTCAAAAATAAGTATCAGTTGTAAAACACTCTATTATAAAAACGCTTCAAACTTTATATTTTTGATCGAACTTCAACTACCGAGCTAGCTTTACTCCATGAGACCACTAGTTACCTTTGGGTGGTCACCCTTTGACTCCACTCAAGGTTTAATGCCAAAGATAAAATTCACTTTCATTAGCTTGAAATCTCATCAAGTATCATTATGAAAACCCACTTTTTAACCATGAAAATACATCAAAGTTTAATAAAATATTGAATAGTGTTTAGTACAATTTTTTAAAGGGATTTTAAACAAATTAGTTATTTGATACATTTTCTAAAAATATTTATATTGTTTTGAAACCTTTTTTTCAGTTTAAATAATAGTAAATAGTGTTTGGTAATATTTTTAATCACTAAATTTAAAAAAGGAAACAAAATCATCCAACTCTGTTACAATTCTTAGACTTAGATCATACCCCCATCAAATAAAAGTATTTCTATGAAAAATAAAATCGGAAAAATCATATAGATATAATCACCGCACCTTATTTAGATTTAGCTTGCAAAAATATTTGCATGTATAATTATTTCACTAACATTTATATAAAAATTATACAAAAATAAGAAACAAGTTTGCCACTGTGGATTTTCTCTATTGAATCATGGACAGAATCATAAAGAGAATTCACACAGCGAAAATATTACTAGTTAATTGACGTATTCAAAATCTCATAACAATATGAAATAAATCTGAAAACCTATTGAATCACCATTTTTAAAACAAAAAAAGAGTTTATTTAACATCTTCTAATAAATTGACCGGCAAGTCAGGATTTGGAAAACTCTAAAACTGAGGAAGATAAAACTATTATGATCCTTATCATCTGCTTGACATCAAGTGTGATTTTTACTTCAAAGTATTGATCGCTGGTAAGACATACATTCATATAAATACCATATTCATTCATTGATTTGTCTATGTGGATTTCAAAAAATGGGTCGGATTCAGTGAAATTATTTTCTAAAAATTAAGAAATATACAGTGCGTATTCAACATCCAAAACAACGAAAAAACAATAAAAAAAACAACAAATTATATAAAGAATTAATCGATCAAAGCCAATAACAGTAAAAATGGGGTTTTACATACCAAGTCTTCTTCTTCAGTCTGGCTCTTACTCACAGATTACGTAAGTGAAGAATTAGGATTTGATATTGCGATTAACAACAAAATTTGGCGCGAAAGAACAGTGCCTAAACCCCATTTCCCACGCTTTTCATTGCCTTCTCTCTCGCTACTAAACAACACACGAGAGTAGTCCGATTAGAGTAAAAATTGAGATTCCACCTCACTGATTCTAACGAAGAAGAGCTTTAGGCAGCAGGAGTTTATCACCTGACCATGTCACGTGTGCATCACGTGTCATGATGTGTTAAATAACATTTTAGTCTCTCAGGTTTGGTGAAAATTTAATAGGTCCTAAGGTTCTAAGAAGTGATACTTTGATTAAAGAATTTATCGGGTAATGACATGAACATCCTTAAAACCAACTGATGTTAAGTAAAAACTGACTAATGAAACAATCTACCCAATGATTTACCCAATGAAATAGTAGTACTGTTAGATGCACCTTCGACGGTGGCGCCCGACTGCTGTCAATGACTATCATCTGATAAACACCTTGTTGAGCAATTCTAAAGTTTTTTAATTATTTAATTTTTATTATATTATTCATTTAATTAAAATCATTTATATAAAAATAAAATTTAAATTAACATTAGAGATCATTTTATAATTAATCAAAAGTACCTTTGAATTCTAAAAGCTACAAATACCTATTTAGGAATGCTTTTATAAAACAAATTATTTGCTGATTGCATAATCACTTTAGAGACCATAAAGTGATTATGCAAATTGTAATAGGTCCTAAGGTTCTAAGAAGTGATACTTCCAGATTTGATAAGTCCCAAGGTTCTGCAAAGTGACACTTCCTATCCAGAATTTTTTTAGTAATGAGTCTAATGACATGTATCTATTAAAAACTAACGGATGTGTGTTCTAGTGGTGAAGCAATGAAATTGGCAACTGAGACAATATTTTAGCAGGATGAACTGTACCTTATTTCATAAACTCACCTGCCTGGAAAATATTGGTTCATAAGATCATAAATCCAACTTAGGAGCAAATAAAATTACCATTTCATGAGATCGAACTGTGATATTGTATAGAGAAAAAAAAAAATGTGCCCATCAATCAGATATCATCCGAAGAATGTTTGTGACAATCAATACCGGGGTTTTGTTACAATAGATTGCTACAACAACACATCAAAATGAAACTTGTAAAACAAAAACGTAAAACTTGTAATATGCACTTTTACATGGTATTATATAGCCACAGCATAGCCAATTAGCCATAGAAAGAAAGCAAACTAATTAAGCAAATACAAGAAACAAAAGCAGCCTCAGCAGGCAAAAACATCAGGAAAAGGCCAGAAAAAACCAACCAGTGTTTCACGTAGAAAACAAAAACCCAAATGGTAGCAGCTTACAAGAGTAGAAAGAGTAATCAACATCATTTCACTGCCTAGAAAACCAAACATCACCAACATTAGATAGTAACTATGTTGAATCACAACACAGAAAGCATCCAACAGGTAAAGATTATATAGCAGTAGTCATCTTCATCTAACATATCTAATTCAATAGTTCAGCAACATAATCCGAATTCCAGGGAAGAAAATCCAGAGAATTTCTGAATGACAGCCATCACAACATGTGTCCACAGGCCAAGCTAAAAGGTTATCGTTAGTGTGTGCACAGAGAACAAGCAAGACTGAAACAATCACTGCAAATTTTGCAATTCTGAACAAAGCAGGTGGTATTATCTTCCATTGTTGGTCAGCTTGAACTTCTTTCATTACTTGGTTAGCTTCCTCCCACAGCAGAGTAATAATCCTGTTAATCCTATCCCATAAAGAATATCTCCTTATATGATGAACATTTTGGTGTGTTTTTGCAGCTTTGCTTTCCTTTCAATCATCTGGGAGAGTTGCAAACTGACTGGCATCAGAAAGAGGCAATTCCACATTTCAGGAATTGAATGAATAATTCATAAAAAGAATTGTGCAACCTGAAGTACATCCCATATGCATGGGATGGGCTGCTGCCTCGATCGGGCCTTTTTTCCTCGTCAGAGGAGAAATTAAAACTATCAAATGTCCTTCACCAGATGAATGCTTGATTTTAAGTAATAACAGCAATTCAAACTGCAGAACATAGAGGGCATGGCATGGATTCACCCAAACATAGAGTAAACAAGACAAACCAAATATAATGACCCATATAAATTGCCAGAAAGCTAGCTCGGAGGGCAACAAAAACAAAGCTTTACCTTTTATGTAAGAAGATTTCAACCCCCAAGTTTCACTAAGTGTTATCGCTTCTTTAGGATCCGCAAGCCTGTGTCAGTTCCATTCAGTAAACAAATTCGGAAAACTGTAAAATACAATCAACATTTCACATCAGTAATAACATAAAAATAAATAAATGGCATACCCTACATTATTTCTACAAGTGAAAAACATTGCAAGATCATTCCCCATTATGACTGAGGTTGAGATCATTGTATAATCATTTTCTTTTTGGAACAAAAGTCATATTTACGTGAAATTTATTAATAAGTTTTAAAATATTAATAATAATTGGGTGATTTTCATGGAGCTTTATTCAAAATCTGATAAACCATAAATCATATAGATAGATAACAGGTTAAAATGCATGTTTAAAACTGAAAATGCCCAGCTAAAAGTAATACATATATGCAGATAACAAAGTTTAATAGAGTATGAGAGCATCAATGCTGGACAGAGTTGTTACAAGATTTGACAAGTAATGATTTACTAAATAATAAATTGAATTCAATGTTTGAGTCCACTTACTTATAGAAGAAAGAACAAAATGGCCAAAATTTTGAGGGAATAACTATGAGAAAGCACTTACCGTTACTCGCATATGCGTTGAGTCCATAGAAACCATACAAAACAAGACTTGAGAAAATAAAAATGTACTTTCTTTTTATTAGTTTTGGCTAATTTAATCCAACTTACCGTGCTTGTTTCATTGATTGCTTGTATATTTCTGAATGGAGAGAACGCTATCTAAAATCTAATGATCTTTCCAAAATGTCCATTACTCATGGCTCCCTACTGAAAAATAGTCATCAGCAATCAATTTACAGGTTTCAATTCTGGTCTCTATCCACTTTGCATATGTTCCCATTTAATTACTTTGGCGTATGTAATTTGACTCCACACTTTTTCACCTTGCTGAAATCTAAAGTCTTAATCACTTTAGCAAGTTGATTAAACTTAAACAGAATGAGTTAACGTGTGTCATTTGGGTATTTTTGTGTGACTTATTTAATATCAATACAAAAAATGCATCCAAGAAAAAAAAAAAAAAGCACACTTTTGCATGGTTCGACAACTACCTGCATCATGAGATCATACCAGATGAAACTAATTCATTGTAATAAACATTTATAAATCAATTACAAATTCAAATTAAGTATCAGTTGTAAAACACTCTCTATATAAAAACGCTCAAAATTTATCTTTTGATCGAACTTCAAACTACCGAGTCGCTTTACTCCATGAGACCACCTAGACCTTTGGGTGGTCACCCTTTGACTCCACTCAAGGTTTAATGCCAAAGATAAACTTCACTTTCATTAGCTTGAAATCTCATCAAGTATCATTAATGAAAACCCACTTTTTAACCATGAAAATACATCAAAGTTTAATAAAATATTGAATAGTTGTTTAGTACAATTTTTTTTAAAGGGATTTAAAAAAATTAGTTATTTGACATTTTCTAAAAATATTTATTATTTGATTTTGAAACCTTTTTTTTTTCAGTTTAAATATAGTAAATAGTTGTTTGGTAATATTTTTAACACTAAATTTAAAAAAAGGAAACAAAATCATCCAACTCTGTTACAATTCTTAGACTTAGATCATACCCCCATAAATAAAAGTATTCTATGAAAAATAAAATCGGGAAAATCATTAGAGATATAATCACCGCACCTTACATTAGATTTATGCTTGCAAAAATATTTTTGCATGTTAAATTATCACAACATTTATATAAAAAATTATACAAAAAAGAAACAAGTTTTGCCACTGTGATTTTCTCTATTGGTCTCTAAATCATCCTGTATATTCCTAGAAACAATATGAATCTGTTCTCATGAAACAAAAGTGACAGCAAAAAATACAGCTCAAGCCATATCCAAAACCCAAAAAACTAAAATTCCTTTCACATAACCAAGAGAGGCAAAAAAGACTGAGCAGTTGTCATTGCTTCAGTGAAATCCGCATCAATGACATCATCATCAGGCCTTGGTTGATGAATCTGATCGTCCAGCTTCAGTGCCGGGCGCAGGTCCAGCACCTGGTTGGTGTAAAGGGACTGACAAGTTGCATGACTTCTTGATTAAGGGCAGCCATGGATCTTTCATTGCTTTGGTTGACTCTGTTGCAATTGCATCCTTGAGCTCCTTTAGTTTTGCCTCAACCTTCTCTTTGACTGGAGCCGAAACTTTGTCTGCAAGCTCCTTCAGCTGCTCTCAGTCTGGTGAACGACGGAATCTGCCTGGTTTTTTGTGTTATAGCACTCTCTTTCCTTGTCCTCCTGTGCAAACTCTCAGCTTCTTGCACCATTTTCTCTACGAATTTTTCATTCAAACTTTCCTTCAGCATTATCTATCATAAAATTAACAAGGCGTTTCAGTTAATTATCATGCACTTTTGAAGTCCATATGAACGCAAATTATCTGAAAGGAGAAACACTGATTTGAGTTGGAAAGTTCCTCAAGACACTAAAGCAACAAAAGATAATCAGATTTTACTCATAGCTATAAGGCATATTTAGCTCTCAACTATGACAATGACAGAAACTAGAAAATGCAAACTTCTGAAAAACATAGCAGGACTACTAACAAAAGAAAAGAATTTAAAGAATGATAGATATATGCAGAAAGATCCTGCTGATGTAGAGAAAAACTAAAATGATAAAGAGTAATTATTGCAGCAAAGCATAAGATGAGGCATAACTCAAAAGCAAAAACTAAACAGCTATCAATTTACTAGTTATATCAAACATACCTCTTCTGTGGGCAAGGTGCTAGCACCTGTAATGGTGATGTCTTGCTTCTTGCCCGAGCCCTATCAATGGCAGAGACAGAGAGAATACCCTTGGCATCAATGTCAAACTTAACGTCAATCTGGGGGACCCCACGTGGTGCCGGCGGGATACCATCTAGACGGAATCTACCTAGAGTTTGTTGTCCTTAACAAACTCCTTTCACTTGAAGGACATAATTTCAACACTGGTTTGTCCATCTGCAGCTGTCGAGAAAATCTCTGATTGGAGGTGGGTAGAGTGGTATTTCTGGAATTACTTTGGTCATAACACCACCCAGAGTTTCTAGAACAATAGATAGCGGAGTTACATCCAAAAGCACAATGTCACTAACATCTCCAGCCGAAACACCCGCAGTTTCAAACAAAATAAAGTATGTAAGATGTTAGATATGGATCTGAATGGAACACAACAAAATAATAATAATAATCATAAAATTAAATTAAATTAAATCCTAAGTTTATCAACAGTTTGGTTATTTAAAATTCGCATAAAATCCATAATTGCCAATCCCTAATATAAGCAAACCACCTCCAAAACTGACAAAGCTAGTAAAATTTTCAATAGTGTCAAAGCTACTGAAATGCAGCCCTAGAGCAACTACTTCATCAGGATGACAGTAACATTGGGTTCCTTTCCAGTCACTCTTCACCAAAGCCTGAACCGCAGGAATACGTGTTGATACACAACAAGGATCACCTCATCCAGATGTTGAAGGAAAGTTTTGCATCACTCAAGGCGTTTTCAACTGGTTTCTTGAGGCTGTAAAAGGATAAATTACAGAGATAAGTCTCAAAAAGTATTAAGACCAGAAGCCATGAGTAGTAAAGAAGCCAAAAGATAAAATGGCAAAAACAATACAAAGGTTGACTCACTGTAAATAGAAATTAAAAAAAGTAAAGGTACCTGTCAAGGAGATTTGAACACAATTCCTCAAAACTTGGCCCTAGTAATGGTGGTCTCTATATGTTAGGACCATCTGCAGTAGCAGTGATGAAAGGCAAACTACAAAACGGAAAAAATATCAGTATGACATATGTACATCAGGGAGGGGTTGTCGATGTGCCTACAGAGAGAATCATCTAACTACAAGCAACATATGATGTTTGTCGAGTCAAAGATGAACTCCATTTGGCTTCTCAGCGGTCTCAGTTAGCCGTTGAAGAGCTTGTTTGTCCTTCAAAAGGTCCATGCCTTGTCTCTCTTGAAGTTTGCAGCAAGCCAATCAACAATCCTCTGCAATCATATGTGATAAGTAAGTCCATTCAGCCACCAAACAGACTACAAGTGAGGAAAAGACCATTACATGCATAAGAACTATGAGGAAAAGATTCCAACCTTATCAAAGTCATCCCCACCCAGTGTGTATCTCCTGATGTGACAGCACTTCAAACACTCCACACCAACCTCAAGCACTAGAAATTCAAAAAAAAAAAAAAAAAAAAAAAAAAAAAAAAAATGAAGTAAAATCAAATATTCACGTATGAACACACCCCTTTCAATCAAAGGGACAAAAGCTACAGAATTTTGATTCGACATAGACCACTTTCTCACAATAGAATGAATTAGGTATAGACATCTATTACCTAGCATAAATACAGTAGACATAACAGAGAACTCTTAACAAGGTACCTGAAACATCAAAAGTGCCACCACCAAGATCAAACACTAGGATAGTCTCGTTGTTTTTCTTTTCAAATCCATATGCTAGTGAAGCAGCAGTAGGCTCATTGATGATACGAAGAACTTCTAAGCCAGCAATACGACCAGCATCCTTTGTTGCTGTCCTCTGTGAGTCATTGAAGTAAGCAGGGACTGTAACCACAGCTTTAGTCACTTTATCATTTAAAAACTTCGATGCATCATTCACAAGCTTCCTCAAAACCTAAATTACAAACAAAAAACAAATTATTCTCAGCAAAAAATCTAAGTATGTGACATGAGATAAACCAAAAATATGAAAAGAGATCAAACAACAACCATTTATCCCACTCAACCAATTAAAGTGGGCTCCTTTTCTCGCATAAACACTAATAGACAAAACTAAACATCTATCTTTTAGCCTTAGAAAGTATCATATCATTCACACAATGCATAACCTTTTAATAACCAAATCCACATAAAAACATGAGCTTAAAACCTTAAAATCCAGTAATTGAACAAACCCAATCACAAAATTTCCCTTAAAATTAAAAAAGAAAAAGACAAATAATATAAAAACCCACCCAAAAACTAACCCAAATCCACATAAAAACATCAACAACCTTCAAAAACCCAAAAATAAGCAAAACACACACACAGCCCAAAACTAACCCAAATCCACATAGAAACATCAACTTCAACCCTCAAAAACCCAAAAATAAGCAAAACACACACACACACACCCCCTCACACCCACGCCCACCCAAAACTAACCCAAATCCACATAAAAACATCAACTTCAACCTTCAAAACACACACACACACACACACACACACACACACACACCCCTCCCAATAACCGCAAACAACATGAAAAAACCCTAATTTCACACACACACACCCCTCCCAATAACCCCAAACAACATGGAAAAACCGTAATTTCACACACACACACCCCTCCCAATAACCCCAAACATGGAAAACCCCTAATTTCACACACCTGAGCTGAAATCTCCTCCGCGGCAAACTGCTTCCCAACAGCAGAACACTCCAACTTCACATTTCCATTCTCATCTCTCACAACTTTATAACTCACCTGCTTCGACTCCTCATTCACCTCCGTCATCTTCCTCCCAATAAACCTCTTCACCGAAAAGAAAGTATTTTCCGGGTTCACAACGGCCTGCCGTTTCGCAATTTGACCAACCAATCTATCCCCGTTCTTCGTATACGCCACCACAGAAGGCGTCGTTCTCTGACCCTCCGCATTCGTCACTATCGTCGGCTTCCCTCCTTCCATCGCCGCCACAGCCGAGTTCGTCGTCCCCAAATCGATCCCCACCACCTTCTCATTCACGACTTTCACGGGCCCCACGTTATGCACCCGTCTCGCGTGATTGTTCAGATTCAAAAAAGCTGCGTTTGGTAGGCCAAATTGTGCTTTTCTCCCAACCGTTTGACCCAGAAACGCAGTTCTCGGTGAGACTGATTTATAATTTACATTTCTTCTGGGACTAAACGAAACGTTGCCCAGAGAGTGAATTTGCGACGCGAAGGAGGAAGCCATGATAGATTTCTATTGTGTCTGTAGCCCTAAAAGGGGACGAGAAAGAGAAGATGAAAAGGAGGCGGAGAAATTTAGGATAGTTCTGTGTATAAGAAGAAGAAACCCCGAATTTAAAATGATTTAAGTTGAATAGGATTGGAAAATCAGAAAATAAGTGGCTATTTTCATTTTCAGGAAAAAAAGTATTTGAGTAAAATTGATTTTCAGATTGGATTCCCACGATAACTAAACAGAATTCAGAGGTGGACAAGGCCTCGGCCCAGGCGATCCCAGGCCTTGAGGGACCAGGCCCAATTTTTGAAAGACCGATCTTGGGTCTATGAGATTTTTTAGGGATGGACCGCTCCTTTTTTTTTTTAATTTTTTTATAAAACTATATTTTTACTCATATTTTTATTGTCAATTTCATATTGGGGCTTTGAATATTTTACAAAAGATTAAATATAATTAGAGAAGGGGTTTGGGCCCGGGCTTCGGACCAAGCCGATCCTTTCTCCCTTGGGCCTGGTCAAGTTCTAGGACTGATTCTAGGATCAGATTTTGGGGCTGGATTCTTTGGGCCCCGGCCTAATTCCCATCTGTAGACTAGTAGTATTGTAGAATGATTTAAGATAACGCAACAAACCGCCCGTGATTTTGAGAATCTTTTTGTCTTTTAGTAATAATACTGAAATGCCGCATCAACAAATTTCTCTCCAGTCCACTGTGGTCTACGGAACTACTAGTCACACCCAAAAGTCTTAAAATTTTACACATAGTGCAACAAAGGCTGGTAGCAAAATGAATTGAAGCAATAAATTAGTGAAACGTGCAAAGCCAGCAACATTTATGTCATTACACTGAAACTTGCATCCCAAAATATCGACACCAATACAGCATATATATGCAGAAAGCTAATAATATAAACAACAACAATAATACTCTTGGAAAGTTGAGATCTCAAAGTCTCAACCTTATATTTCACTATCTCTAGGTGTTTGCATTGAATTTTTCTACATTGATTTATTGGCCAGTGAACATTAGGTGTGATTGAGATACTGATTCAATAATTCTGATCTTTATCTTCTCCATTACTTAAACTATTCACACAAATTCATTCATTGATTTATCTATGAGGGTTTTAAAAGCTGGGTAAGAGTTAAATTAAATACTAAAATTTGAGAATTTAAAAAAAAAAAAAAAAAAAAAAGATCAATCAAAACAACAAACTAAATCAAGAATTAATTGATTGAAGGCAAATGCAATAATAGTGAAATGGGTTTTACATTATGGGCCTTCACTCGGGGTTTTCCTCAAAAACAGGAATGTGAAGAAATTGAATAAATGGAGATTTAGCGCTAGAGAAATTGAAGAAATTGAGAACTGGACCCTTAACCGGTCCCGATACATCCTAAATCTGGTTATAACAGTTAGACTAGATTGACCCAAGTTTAAACAGTGTCGAATCGCCGATTTAACCATCGGGTTAGAGAAATTTTTTTTGAGAAAATGATCAAGGAAATCTTTAACCGTTCAGTTGCATTCAAAAGAGATGGAGGAATATAATCCACTATTTTAAGCTCGTCATCAATGAATATATTGATCATTTTTTGACACAATGCAGCATACAAATGACTAGTAAAATTATTGCGGGTATCCTTACCTTTGAAACCAAGATAAATAATATCATGCTTTTCTTGAGGAGAAGCGGAAGAAGAAGCAACAGCCATTAACTTCCAGATTGCCCACTATTTGCTGTTAACTTTGTCTCTGTAATCATCAAATTGAGATGGGGCTCAACATTCTCAAACATGCAATCAAAAATTTTGAAACTGGGTTTTCACTATAAGTGATTTAACTAAGTGAGTTTCAAAAATAGAGTCGGATTAAGTAAAATAAGGGATTGAAAATTAAGAATATCAAAGTTTCGAATAAAGATTAACAACAACAAAAATCAATCAACAAAACAAATTTATTAATGAATTAATTGAAGGAAAAATGGGTTTTACATACCAAATATGAAGTCTAGCTCTTTCTCACGAATCAGGCATATCAAGAAATTGAATGAATGGAGATTTAGGCTTCGTTTGGCTCACTTTTGGGAATACTAATAATAGTATTCCCAAAAGTTAAACAGTAAAATTGCAAAAACTCACAATATTATTCAATTTTTTTAAACCCCCTAAATTTATTAATTTAATTAAATACCCCTAAATATTTTTTTAGAAATTGCAAAAACACCCCAGTAACCCACATTTATTAGATTCCAGCCACCACTGTCAGAAGTGGCCGGAATCTGGTACAATAGCGCACTACCGACTGAATCTGGCCGGTAGTGCACCGATCTAACATTTTTCGACCAGATCCATGGTGGATGGTGGATCTGGCCAGAAAATGCCAGATCTAAGGCCAAAGATCTGGCCGTTGATGGCCAGATCTTTGGCCGTACCAATCATCAACAACGGCCAACATATGGTCGTTGTTGACCATCAATGACAGCCGTATCTTTGGCCGTCGTTGATGAGCAAATGTAGCCAGATCTGGCCATCAAATCAACGACGGCCATATGTTGGTTGTCGTTGACGAGCAAATGCGGCCAGATCTGGCCATCAATGGCCAAATCTAACCGTAGATCTGGCCGGAAAAGGCCATAGCGGCGCAAGACCGACAAGATACAGCCGGTCATGCGCCAATACGACGACTCCGGCCACCATCTGGCAGTGGTGGCTGGTCGTCCGTATTTAATAGGTGGGTTGGGGGTATTTTTGTTAACTTTTAATGTTTTATTATAGGGGTGTTTAGTAAATAAATAAACATAGGGGGTATTTTTATTAATTTTCAAATCCTACATCGTAATACCCGCCCAATTCAACTTTTTTCAAAAAAAAATTCTAAAAAGTGTAAAAAAAATGAACCAAACGGAGCCTTATGGTTTGACAATGTGATTTAAAAAAAAAAAAAAATTTATTTCATCTTCTGTAATTTTATGAAATATCAGTTTTATCCTCCTTGTCATCCATTATGAGATTTCAACAGCTCAAAGCTCAAACAATCAAGTTGGGGCATATTCTGGTTTTCGACGTTGGTGGAGGCTGTGTTCTATTATTTAATTTCAGGGGTGTACATGGCAATCCCTTTTTTGAAAAAAAAGCGTTTTCTCATTGACTGATGATTATTAAATATGGACCATTGAAGTCCAACGAATTTTCTCTCTCTTCACCCATCTGCAATTCATAATATTGGAATGAATAGAACGAATTGACAGTTATAAAATGCAATGTTTTAAAACTCAACCCACGGTGAAACCCGGCAAAGTTGTCGGGTCCTAGGTTGACCGATTGGCAAAAACTTCTAAAATTCAGTAAATACACCCTTAAAAATTTTGTTAAGTCCTCATAGGTTTGAAATTTAGCAAACACAGCCCAAATACAAATCAATCGACGATTAGTTGACGATAACAACACCCCAAATGTAATCTCAATCGTCCCTTAAGCCCATTCCTCTGAAAATCTATCCAAAATCTAACCGATATGAGTTCGACGATGTCGACATTCCAAGCCAGATCTCACCAACGCTGACATTGACAACCCTCCTCATCACCTCGAAAATAATCCGCTCTTCCTTCCGACCAAAACCCACCTCATCCCACCCCCGTTAGCCTCGCCAATCGCAGGCAAAAGCCGATTGTTGCGACAGCTAGTTTTTTTTTTGGTTTTCGGCCGATTTACTTACAGGAAATCAACTTCATCGCTGCCATTGCACTCACTAACACTTTCTCTTCAAAATCCCCAACATCTCGGCCTTCAATTGTTCACTGATCATTATCCAAAATTCTAGGTTTTGGATGAATAGGAAAAATGTAAACCTAATTGGTGAAGCTTCCAAGTGTCGTTTAAACCGACCGGGTTTAAAACATTGATAAAATGAGCATTCATTCATTCTCCCATCAACCACAATGACTAAATCTTATTTAAGTACACTACTACTTCCGGAACAAGTATCTTTTCATACTCAAAGAACACGAAAACGTCATGAAATACACAATTTACGCAACAAACATACGAAATACAAAGACTATCGTCTTGTAAAGATTTACATGACGAAGTTGCAACAGTACCCCAAAACATAAAACCTATTTAAAAGATGATAAAATGTACATCATGCATCAAAAATTGATTTAATTACAAACTTAACTTCCTCTTTGATAAAAAGGTTATTTATATTTACAATTTCTCAGGACGTATGCGTGAGGTTGCTTCAAAAATGTCAGTAGCTTAAAGGATGCAGATTATGTTTATAACAACAATGTCTATAGGTACCTCTGATGGGGGAAACAAAGTTTGGACAACAATGATCTTCCAGAGAATTTTGTGCTTGTAGACTTTTTCCAGTATAAGATTAGGCAGGCGTGCAAGGATGAGTGGCCAAATAGAACTCAGAGCTCTAAGTCATTGGAAGTACTCTCCCAATGCAAGCCAGCCTCGAGCAGCTTGGCGAGTTATTAGGATACGAGACATCTGCTGTAGAGTTTCCTGGCGAAGATGGTTAGCCTGTTTGGACAAGAACTTGAAAAGTTGGTAACATTTCAAGATGTCCTAATTAAAAACTAACATAGTTCAGATGGTATGGACCCGAAAATTAAAGAACCATGCTATGCTAAGATCCGTATATTGCTTTCTACCAATCATATCATTTTATTAACGAAACACCAATTGGTGCTCTGGTCGTCAATCATGAAACCTTATTCGGAGAAACTCTCAACAGCGGAGAATATCCATATTAGAGTCAGTAACCACACGGTCCACACTTCAGTTTGCAGTAAAAGGGAAGCACTAGACGAAAATTTAACTACATTTTATAGTACATCACGAAAATGATGTCGCCTACACATCATGAATGCATTAAATCACCAAAATAGTGAATTTCATGCCAAGAAGATGGTTTAAAGGAAAGGGAAGAGAAAAGAGGTGGTTTGTCTTGCATCACGGGCTCACAGAATTTCAGTCAAAATAATAACTCAATCATCAGCTAGTTATTTTCCATACTAGCTGCAGAGTGCTTTAATAAACAGCAAGAAGTAGAAGAAAACTTCAATTTCACAGATAAATGCAAATTTGACTCACTAGAAAGATTCTCAATTTAAATCAAATGTGCTGATAAAGAACTAATTGACGGGTCAGAAAATGGATTACTGAAAGATATTGAAAGTACAGATAGCATGCAATAGAAACATCAGCTATACTTCGAAAGAATCCAGAATAAAGCCATACTTGATTGGGCAATGATGCGGATTCTTACCTGGTTTACGAAGCTGACTATAGCTTCCAACTTCTCCATTGCAGTAGGTATCCGTGGGAGGTAACCTCCTCCTACCAGTTGACCAGCAGCTACAGTTTCAGCAAGAGTTGATTGCAATTTTTCCATGCCTTGAGACAGAGAATCTTCTGCTTGCTGACATGACTGCCTTAGGTTACTAACTTTCATATATTATGAATCGGTCAACGTGTCAAGATGAGGAACAAGAACCTGTTATCAATGTCAATTTATGAATCAGTGTTATTTTACCTGTGGTGAAAGACCTTAGATAACAATTCGATTAAGAAATTAATTCGATTAAGAAATATGTGAAAAAGCAATGTTTACAAATATATATTACCGAATGTGTCCAAAACTATAGTTACTCACATTTATTATCAATAACTACCTTCAATGGAGCAAATTATTTCACTTATTAAATAAATTGTAATATGAATCACCTTAAGAAGCTCAGAAGGGTGAAATCCTCTGATTCAAAAGAAAAAACATTCAGCTGCTGTCTTCCACATGCCAGACATTACATAGAAAGCATCGACCTTTGCAGCAGAAGATTCCATGCGGAAAAGTTCAAGATAGTGGCTCATGCCACCCTCCAATAGAATGTGAAGCTCTGTATCACTAATAAGGGCCTGCAAAGCAAACCTCAGTTCACAAATTTGCCAATTTTGCTCTTCAACCCAGTGTCCATACTCCCATATCAATTGCAGCAATTCCAGCACAAACCTCGGTGAGGACTTTTTGTTGAATGCGAGAACATGAAATGACAAAAAGTAGTGTTCTATAAGCACCAGGAGCTACTGGAAATCCAATCACAAAGAACACATTCAGCACATCAGAAATTATACACATAGCTTCATAACACAACATCAGTTTTCATGGTGGTGTCAAGTTTGCAAAGCGTTTGAACCTTGTGCATATGGACAGCTGGAACATATTGCCAGGAACATTTTCAAGACATTTGATTTATAGACAGCATTGAAATGACTTCAGTGTGGATGAAGAAGGTATGAAGTCTTTCTTACATACTCTTTACAAGCACTTGAAACAATGGCGGAAAATTAAAATGAAGATTTAGGAAATAAAACTATGAACATATTGGGGGAATCATGCTTTGAAGGGAACATGATTAAAACAGTAGATAGCAGGAGCATACACTAAGTGGTGATGGTAAGCTAGCAGTGCTAAAATTCCACAAACAATCTAATTATCAAGCGTACACTCTAGGTCCCCAGAGTCAAATACCAAAACACCGCAATTAGAGACATGCAATTTCAAGAAATAACGTCTGTGAGTGAGGACATCAAAACCAGAAGTAATTCAGCAATATTTTGACAAACCTGAGTTTACAGGTCCAGAGAACCCCATCTCAGAACCTTCTACTCCACCACCTATATACAAACCTTGCAGTGTAGCATTTGTTGTTTCAAATATTTGAATGTGAATAGGAAATAGGAGGGAAAGGGTTTCTAGTGTCATAATACCAATCGACTAAACAAGAAACAGAAATAGTAAATAGTAAATCTTCTCTATACCTGTTGTCCAGCTTGCTCAAGCTCCTGCTCCAATTGTTCTAACTTTAATCTATTAGATTCCAGCTGCTGAACATAGGCCTGCAAAACAAACACAAATTAAATTTAAAATCCCAAACCACTTGTTGCATGTTAGGGAATCTGTTTCAAAGCAGGCCTCATCATACCTTTTTCTGCAATCGGCCTTTAGAGCAGCCTCACAGTTTTGTGCAAGACGTCTTTGTATCTGCAGAACTTTGTAACCAAAAAAAAGACTCATTTCATGTTGAAGGGAATATCATTTAATATATTAAGAAAACCATATACAAAATTAGCACAACCTATGGCTCAAATTGGTCAATTGTGAGAATGAATGCATTGAATACAGTGAAGTCAAAAGCAGTGCATAGTACATTAAGTTATGTGCCAATTCTTGGCTTTGTGCAGATATAGACTATTTAAGTAATTTCTGAGTCAATCATGGAGAAGGGGATCAATTTGAAAATAGTTATAATTCAAGAAAGCAAGAGAAAACAACAGAATAGTATATGCCAACATTAGCAAAAATCAAAATACAAATATACCAGATTACAGAGCAATTACCAAAAGTCCTAGCGAACTATTTCAAAAACCACCTTCATTGCATTAATACATGAACCACTTTTTAGGAGTGTAATATTTCAAAAGTTTCAGCCAACTGGGCAAACATAAAGCAACAATAATTTCAGAGAAGAAACAAGGAAGATGCCTTACCTTTTTCTATTCTATTGCTTTCATCTCTTTTCCCAGAAGATGCCTAAAATTAAAATAAAGAAACTCTAAATCATAAGGGTTAGGGTTTAGTGTGAGGCAATGAAATTGGCAACTGAGACAATATTTGAGCAGGATGACTTTTACCTTATTTCATAAACTCATCTTGCTGGAAAATATTGGTTCATAAGATCATAAATCCAACTTAGGAGCAAATAAAATTACCATTTCATGAGATCCAACTGTGATATTGTATAGAGGAAAAAAAAAAAAAAAAGCCCATCAATAAGATATCATCCAAAAATGTTTGTGATAATCAAAAGCTGAGTTTTTTTACAATAAATCACTGCAACAACACATCAACATGAACCTTGTAAAACAAAAACATAAAACTTGTGACATGTACTTTTACATGGTATTATATAGCCACAGCATAGCCATACAAATACAAGAAACAAAGCCAGCCTCAGAAGGCAAAAGCATCAGGAAAAGCCCAGAAAAACCAACCAGGGTTTCACATAGAAAACAGTTAACCAAATAGTAGCAGCTTACAAGAGTAGAAAGAGCAATCAACATCATTTCACTGCCCAGAAAACCAAACATCATCAATATTAGATAGTAACTATGTTGAATCACAACACAAAAAGCACCCGGCACTAAAAGATCATATAGCAGTTGCCTTCATCTAACATATCTCATTAAATAGTTCGGCAACATAATCTGAATTCCAGCGAAGAAAATCCAGAGAATTTCAGAATGACGGCCATCACAATATGTGTCGACAGGCCAAGCTAAAAGGTTATTGTTAGTGTGTGCAGCAGAGACCAAACAAGACTGAAACAATCACTATAAATTTTTCAATTCTGAACAAAGCAAGTAGTATTGTCTTTCATTGTTGGTCAGCTTGAACTTCTTTCATTACTTGGTTAGCTTCCTCCCACAACAGAGTAATGATCCTGTTAATCCTTTCCCATAAAGAATATATCCTTATATGATTAACAGTACTTTGGCGTGTTTTTGCAGCTTTTTGCTTTCCTTTCAGTCGTTTGGGAGGGCTACAAACTGACGAACATTAGAAAGAGGCAATTCTGCAATTCAGGAATTGAATGAATAATTCATAAAAAGAATTGTGCGACCTGATGTACACAAAATATGCATGGGATGGGCTGCTGCCTCAATGGGGCCTTTTATCCCAGTCAGAGGAGAAATTATCAAATGTCCTTCAAACTTTGGGGCAATGAGTTTTTTATTTGAAAGAAAAAAGAAGACTATGCCTTCACCAGATGAATGCTTGATATTAAGTAATAATAGCACTTCGAACTGCAGAACGTAGAGGGCATGGCATGGATTCACCTAAATATATAGTAATGCAAAACAAGACAAACCAAATATAATGACCAATATAAATTGCAGAAAGCTAGCTTCAGAAGGCAACAAAAAGTAAGCTTCACCTTGAAACCATTGAACTATTATGCAGGACACCACCACAACTATACAGAATACCAATGAAATCATATAGGACGTATAATTCTTCACCCATAAATCATATAGTCAGATAACAAGGTTAAAATGCATGTTTAAACTGAAAATGCATGGCTAAAATGGAAAGAGTTGTTACAAGAATTAACAAGTAATGATTTACTAAATAATTTGAATTCAATGTTTGAGTCCACTTACGTTATAGAAGAAAGAACAAAGTGGCCAAAGTTTTGACGGCATAACTATGAGAAAGCTACTTAATAGTTACCCGCATGGCCGCATATGCGTTGAATCCATAGAAACCATACAAAACAAGGCCCGAGAAAATAAATATATAATAACTTTCTTTTATTAAGTTTTTGGTTAATTTAATCCAACTTACCGTGCCTGTTTATTGGTCGCTTGTATATTTCTAAATGGAGGCACCAGCTATAGGTTTCAATCTCTGGTCTCTGTCCACTTTTGCATCTGTTCCCATATAATTATCTTTGGCGTACAGCAATCTGACTCCACACTTTTTCACCTTGCTGAAATCAATGCTATTCTCACTTCCATGCTCAACATAGAACATAATGTAGCCCTCACTATTCAAATTGAGTGTAGGCAATGCATCGAACATGATAGCAAAATCATATCCAACGAATACATGATCGGATTCAATAACCTCATGCCCATTATATTTAAACAAATGGCCAAAGGAAACGATCTCCTCGTTAACAAGCAAACGAAATCTTACTGTGAAAGTTCCAAGCTCTTGATAGTCTCGAAAAGATGCAACAGCACAGAAAGCAAAACCAATTAAGTCATCACTGAGCCAACCTGCTGGAAGCTTTATCTCAAATCCAGTACTTTTAAGGCTAAACCACTCTGGAATTTTGCTTCCAGGGTAACATATACAAGCACTTGACGAGAATATCGATCGCTGCAAGTAGTCTCTCGTTACCTGTACCAAGAAAATAATCAACTTTTAATCTTCTTAATTTTTACGCTTCCCTTTAAGGTTTGCTTTAATACTAATTAGGTCCTTGTAGAATATATATAAAGTTGTTTTTAAGATTCTTTTGTGCGAACCAAGCTTAAATACCATTATATTTATTTGTAAGAGATCATGGGTGATAAATCCAATTGTATTTAACAATTGTCCACACGAAAATTACTACCTAAAGTTCATATTCCATTTACTACCCAGAATTTACTTTCCAATTCGATGATAAATAGAGAGCAAACTTGATCCACGATGTTAAAGCTTTTAAAGAGAAAATGTTATTGAGTCTTTTGCACTAGATTTTAATGGTTGGAATTGGTCAGAATCTAACTTGGGAGGAGCGGTTGTGCATTCTATAAATCGCTTAATTGTCAAAAATTGGCAAGGTCGACGAGAACAAGGTTTGAGGGTTTTGATAAGTGATGATCGAGGAAGAGAATGATGGTGGTAGAGGTTGCAATGATATTGGAATTGGTTGATGATTGGTCACAATATAAACTTGGGGTAATAAATTGGTATTTTGAAACTTCTTAGATGAAAAAAACTGAGGCAAACCTTGGGTGGGAAAAAGATAAAAGCCGTGTACCCTTAATACAACATTAACCGTACTAAGTTGACGTGCCCTTTCCACAGGACTATTTACTGCGGTCAGTGCTTTTTACCTTACGCATGTTCTTATTTTTGTTGCGTAAAAGAGATGTGATAGATAGATGAATAAAATATTTTTAAATAATTTATCATTATTAAAAGTAGTCACAAAAATATAATATTTAGTTCATTTAATGTAAATAACTAAATTATTCAATAACATTAAATCTGATTTGAATAATATAATTTATTTATTTATTAGTTTAATTAATATTGAAATCAATTATTAGTTTATAATAGTAATATTAAAAGTAAGAGCATATATATAATTAAAAATAGATTATATATATGCTTAGTGTCATATGAAAAGAGAGAGAGAGAGAGAGAGAGAGAGACTTACTTCTTCTTCAGGGAAAAACAGTTGATGAAGCAATTGGTGTAATTTCAAATCTGGGAGTTCATCTAATTTCAGTTTGAAACAATTGATGAAGCAAATCGTGTAGAACGTACTTGGGCACAGACTTGGTAAACCTGATAATGCTTCAAGTGAGGTGCAACCCCGTGCCTCTATTGTCTCTAACCGCTGTGGAAGCTCCGGTAAGGATTTAAGCTTCTCGCAATTGCGTAAATCTAGCCATAACAAGTTAGAGAGGTCTTTGATGCTCACTGGTAGGCTCTCAAAATTGTTTCGGCCCAGATATAATCTCACCAGTGAGCGTATTCGGCCAAGATCGTTGGGTAACACTTCGATACCACAGTCAGTCAAATCTAGTTTCCACAACCACCAGCTTGGGAAAGCATACTCTAGGAAACTGAGCACCTCCAGATTCCTACATCTGGCCAAAGATAACTTGTCAAGGAATTTCAAACATGTTATAGATGGTGGTACTTCTCTTATAGCAATTCCCTTGACTTCAAGTATCTTCAATGCTTTTAAATTTCCCTCACCTTTGATCTTCCATATCTAGCTTTTTACTAAAACCAGAAGCTGCTTCTTTATAAAGGTAATGAAGAGTTTGACGCCATGGTTGAGAAACTAAGGACGGGTTGAAGGTTGTTCTGGAAGAGTTTCATCAACTAGCTGGGAAATTAGGAAAGATGAAGAGGGAGTTTTTAGAGTGGAGTATGACGATGAAATGGAGGGCGTTGAACTGAGTGAAGCGTGGCTGAAGAGATCGGAGTATGACGATGAAACGGAGGGCGTGGACGATGCAATCAGTAGTTCCGTCATTTACTGTTTAATAAGGGACGGCCATCCCTTAAGTGTGGACTGCGTCCATACATAATGGAGGCATCCATTAGTTACGGACGCCGTCCAAACTAAAGGACGCCCGTCCACAATTTATGAACAGGCGTCCAAATTTTTTATTTTATTTTTTAAAACAAATAAGTTGGACGGGCGTCCATTCCTTACGGACGCCGTCCAAACTTAATGGACGGGCGTCCCGTATTTGCGGACGCTCATCCAAAATTAAGGGACGACGTCCACAACCTATGAACGGCCGTCCATAATGTTTTGTAAATTTTTTTATTGTATTTTATTTATGGACGGGCGTCCTTTAAATGGGGACGTCCGTCCTGGTATATGGACTGTCCATATAATATAGACGGGAGTCTATGTGAGTGAACGGCCGTCCAAATTCGATGGACAGCCGTTCACTAAAAAAAATTGATAAAAAAAGCAGACGCCTGATAACATAGGCCGATACACATTTTCGATGCAGATTTTTTGGTATCCGTATCTTAGTTGCTCACGATTATTAACTATGAACCATTGAAGTCCAAGAAAGTGATGCTTTGAGATTAATTGTTTTGGCTCTCTTCATCAGATTTCCAATCCTTATATTAGAATGAATAGAACGAATGATATTTATAAAATGAGCATTCTTTCATTCTCCCACTAACCAATGACTAAATCTTTATTAAGTACAACTACTACCTCGAGAACAAGTATCTTTTCATACTCAATAACACAAAAAATTGAAATAACGATTTACGCAACAAACATAAGAAACCAAAATTGTCGTCTTGTAAAGATTTACATGACGACGTTGCGACAGTACCCCAAAGCATAAAACCTAAATATATTCTTTAAAAGATGATAAATGTACATCATGCATTGAAAATTACAAACTTAACTTCCTCTGGCGTAAAAAAACTATTATATTTACAATTTCTCAGGACGATGTGTGGTGCTTCAAAATGTCAGCCGTTGAGAGGATGCAAATATGTTTTTTAACAACAATGTCCACAGGTACCTCTGTGGGGGAAACAAAGTTTAGATGGTGATGATTTTCCAGAGATTTTTGTGCTTGTAGACCTTTTTCTGGTATATGATTAGGCAGGCTCACGAGGACAAGTGACCCAAATAGAACTCAGAGCTCTAAGTCGTTGGAAGTACTCCCCAACGCAAGCAAGCCTCAAGCTGCTTGGCGAGTTGTTAGGATACGAGGCATCTGCTGTAGCATTTCCTGGTGAAGGTCAGCCTGTTTGGACAAGAAGTAGAAGAAATGCAAATTCGACTCACTAGAAAGTTTCTCAATAAATCAGAGTGCTGATAAAGAACTAATTGACAGATCAGAAATGGATTACTGAAAGATATTGAAAGTACAGATAGCATGAAATAGAAAACATCAGCTATTCTTACCTGGTTCACAAAGACGACTAGAGCTTCCAACTTCTCCATTGCAGTAGGTATCCGTGGGACGTAACCCTCCTACCAGTTGACCAGCAGCTACAGTTTCAGCAAGAGTTGATTACAATTTCTCCATGCCTTGAGACAGAGCATCTGATTAAGCAATATGTGAAAGAGCAATATTAACCATATATATAATATATTATACATAAATACCTAATGGAGCAAATTATTTCACTTATTAAAAAATAGAAATAGAATCACTTAAGAAGCTCAGAAGGGCGAAATCCTCCAATCAAAAGAAAAAAACGTTCGGTTGCTGTCTTCCACATGCTAGACATTACATAGAAACATCGGCTTTTGCAGCAATAGATTTCATGCGAAAAAGTTCAAAATAGTGGTCATGCCACCCTCCACTAGTATGTGAAGCTCTATATCACTAATATGGGCCTGCAAAGCAGACCACAGTTCACAAGTTGCCTATTTTGCTCTTCAAACGGTGTCCATACTCCATCTCAAATGAAGCAATTCCTGCCACAACCTCGATGAGGACTTTTGTTGAATGCAAGAACATAAATGACAAAAAGTAGTGTTCTATAAGCAACAGGAATACTGGAAATCAAATCACAAAGAACACATTCAGCACATCAGAGATTATACCTAGCTTCATAACACAACATCAATTTTCACGGTGGTGTCAAGTTTGCAAAGCGTTTGAAACTTGGCTTATGGATGCTGGATCTTTGCCAGGAACATTTTCGAGACATTTAATTTATAGACTGCATTGAAATGACTTCGTGTGGATGAGAAGTTATGAAGTCTTTCTTACATACTCTTTACAAGCACTTGAAAAAATGGCGGAAAATAAAATGAAGATTTAGGAAATAAAACATGAACATATTGGGGGAATCATGTTTGAAGGGAACATGATTAAAACATAGATAGCAGGAGCATACAACTGAGTGGTGATGGTAAGCTAGCAATACCAAAATTCCACAAACAGTCTAATTATCAAGCGAACACTCTAGGTCCCCAGAGTCAGATACCAAAACACCGCAATTAGAGACATGCAATTAAGAATAGCAACGCCTGTGAGTGAGGACATCAAAACCGAAGTAATCAACAAATTTTGACAAACCTGAGTTTACAGGTCCAGAGAACCCCATTGTAACTTCTACTCCACCACCTATATACAAACCCTGCAGTGTGCATTCGTTGTTTCAAATATTTGAAGTGAATAGGAATAGGAGGGAAAGGGTTTCTAGTGTCATAACACCATCGACTAAACAAGAAACAGAAATAGTAAATCTTCTCTATACCTGTTGTCTAGCTTGCTCAAGCTCTTGCTCCAACTTTTCTAACTTAATCTACTAGATCTAGTACTGAACATAGGCCTGCAAAACAAACACAAATTAAATTTAAAATCCCAATCCACTTGTTGCATGTTAGGGAATCTGTTAAAAGCAGGCCTCATCATACCTTTTTCCACAACGGCTTTTAGAGCAGCCTCACGGTTTGTGCAAGACGTCTTTGTATCTGCAGAATTTTGTACCAAAAAAAAAAAAAGAAGAAAAAAGACTCATTTCATGTTGAAGGGAATATCATTTAATATATTAAAAAAACCATATACAAAATTAGCCACAACCTATGGCTCAAATTGGTCATTGTGAGAATGAATGCATTGAATACAGTGAAGTCAAAGGTAGTGCATATACATAAGTTATGTGCCAATTCGGGTTTTGGCAGATATAGACTATTTAAGTAATTTTGAGTCAATCAGGAGAGAGGAATAATTGAAAACAGTTATAATTCAAGAAAGCAAGAGAAAACAACTGAGTATATGCTAACATTAGCAAAATACAAAATATCAGATTACAGAGCGCACCAAAAGTCCTAGCGACTATTTCAAAAACCACCTCATGCATTATAAATGAACCACTTTTTAGAGTGTAATATTTGAATAGTTTCAGCCAATTAGGCAAACATTAAGCAACCATAATTTAGAGAAGAAACAAGGAAGATGCCTTACCTTTTTTATTCTATTGTTTTCATCTCTTTTCCCAGAAGATGCCTAAAATTAAAAAAAAAAAACTCTAAATCACAAGGGTTAGGGTTTAGGGTGAGGCAATGAAATTGGCAACTGAGACAATATTTGAGCAGGGTGACTTTTACCTTATTTCATAAACTCACCTGTTGGAAAATTGGTTCATAAGATCATAAATCCAACTTAGGAGCAAATAAAATTACCATTTCATGAGATCCAACTGTGATATTGTATAGAGAAAAAAAAAAAAAAAAGTCCATCAATAAGATATCATCCAAAAATGTTTGTAATACAAAAGCTGAGCTTTTTTACAATAATCACAACAACAAGCATCAACATGAACCTTGTAAAACAAAAAATAAAACTTGTGACAGTACTTTTACATGGTATTAATAGCCACAGCATAGCCATAGAAGAAAGCAAACTAATTAAGCAAATACAGAAACAAAGCAGCCTCAGAAGGCAAAAACATCAGGAAAAGCCCAGAAAAACCAACCAGAGTTTCACATAGAAAACAATTACCAGATAGAGCAGCTTACAAGAGTAGAAAGAGCAATCAACATCATTTCAGCCTACAAAACCAAACACATCATCAATATTAGATAGTAACTATGTTGAATCACAACACAGAAAGTATCCGGCAGTAAAAGATCATATAGCAGTAGCCTTCATCTAACATATCTAATTAAATAGTTCAGCACATAATCTGAATTCCAGGGAAGAAAATCCGAGAATTTCAGAATGACAGCCATCACAATATGTGTCGACAGGCCAAGCTAAATATTATTGTTAGTGTGTGCACCAGAGACAAACAAGACTGAAACAATCACTTGAAATTTGCTGAGTATTGTCTTTCATGTTAGTCAGCTTGAACTTCTTCATTACTTGGTTAGCTTCCTCCACAAACAGAGTAATGATCCTGTAATCCTTTCCCTAAAGAATATATCCTTCTATGATGAATAGTACTTTGGCGTGTTTTTGCAGCTTTTTGCTTTCGTTTCAGTCATGGGAAGGCTGCAAACTGACTAGCATCAGAAAGAGGCAATTCTGCAATTCAGGATTGAATGAATAATTCATAAAAGAATTGTGCGACCTGATGTACACACAATATGCAGGGATGGGCTGCTGCCTCAATGGAGCCTTTTATCCTCGTCAGAGGAGAAATATCAAATGTCCCTCACACTTTGAGGCAATGAGTTTTTTATTTGAAAGAAAAATGAAGACTATGCCTTCACCAGATGAATGCTTGATAAAGTAATAATAGCAGTTCAACTGCAGAATCTAGAGGGCATGGCATGGATTCACCTAAATATATAGTAATGCAAAACAAGACAAACCAAATATAATGACCAATATAAATTGCAGAAATAGCTTCAGAAGGCAACAAAAAGTAAGCTTACCTTGAAACCATTGAACTATTATGCTGGACACCACTACAACTATACAGAATACCAATGAAACTAGTTGACTTCTAATAAATTGTTGAACTAATATTTTAGAAGGATTAGGTTCTGAATTCTTATTCATGTTCTTAAATATAGATTTAGTTTATAGTCTTTAATTACTGATTTCTGGCCACTTGACCTTCTTCATTCATGTTAATTAGTCATATGACATGATGTCGCAAAACAAAAAAAAGGGAAACATTAATTTGACTAGTATCAATTTAAAAACTCAATCAAAACATCACAATAAGAACGGATTAAATTAAAATTAATACTTTATTTCCAATTGACTTCTCCTTGATTGACAGTTATGAATACGCCAACCCAACCAGAATATGAAATAGAAATAATAAATTAATATATTAATTTAGCAGCCAACTCAAACTCTGTCCGTTAGTAATTGTTGTATGTATATATAAGTTTTATTTGATGTTTCTATCCCCAATTGTTGCGTGTTCTATTTTTCATATTCTTATGAACAGAAAAATTTAAAAAAAAAAAAAATTATCGTATATTATCTTTCACCGTGTAAACAAACAGTGGCGTTCACATTATTCCATCTTCACAAGGTGGGTTTCGAAAATGGAGTCTGATTAAGCGAAACTAGGAATTCAAAATTAAGAATATCAGAGTTTCGAATTAAGATTAACAACAACAGAAAAAAAATCAACGAAAGAAATTTATTAATTAATTGATTGAAGGAAAAATGGGTTTTACATACCAAGTATTCAGTCTGGCTCTTTCTCACGAATCAGGCATATGAAGAAATTGAATGAAGGAGATTTAGGGTTTGACAATGTGATTTGTAACCAAATTTGGCGCGAATGAACTGTATCTCCGTTCTCCATCCCATTACACGCGCTTTTCTGTATCTTCCTAAGCGGAGCTCTGCAATTAGAGGAATAAAAAAGAATAATGGAAACTGGGTTTTCACTAGAAGTGAGTTAACTAAGTGGGTTTCGAAAATGGAGTAGGATTAAGTGAAATAAGGGATTCAAAATTAAGAATATATGAGTTTCGAATCAAGATTAACAACAACAAAAATCAATCAACGAAACAAATTTATTAATGAATTAATTGAAGGAAAAATGGGTTTTACATACCAAGTATTCAGTCTAGCTCTTTCTCACGAATGAGGCATATGAAGAAATTAAATGACTGGAGATTTAGGGTTTGACAATGTAATTTGTATCCCCTGTTAAGAAATTGTTAAAATATTTAGTTGAAATATTTTCAAAATTGTTTTATGATACCCCCCGTCAAAGTTAAATTTATTTCATCTTTTGTATTTGTATGAAATGTCAATTTTATCATCCTTGTCATCCCTTTTAACAGCTCCGGCCTCCAACACCAACAGTCGGGGTTGAGGGTATATTTTATAGTTTTTGAAGTTGGTGGAGGCTGCGTCAGGCAAAGACCCTTTTTTCAAAGACGATAAAAGAACGTTTACTCACTGATCCAACAAATCTACGGACACCGAAAAATCTGCACCGGAAATGTGTATCGGCCTACGTGTATCAGGCGTCTAATTTTTTTATCAATTTTTTTTTAGTGAACGGCCGTCCATCAAATTTGGACGACCGTTCACTCACATGGACTCCTGTCCATATTATATGGACAAGGGTTCATATTCCAGGGACGGGCATCCCTATTTAAAGGACGCTCGTCTATAAATAAAATACAATAATAACAAAATTTGCAAAACATTAGGGACGGCTGTCCATACATATGGACGGTCGTCCATTCCTTGACCCAAATATGAAAAAAAAAAAAAAAAACTTTGGGGATGGCCCTCCATAAATTTTGAATGGCCGCCCCTTACATTTGGACAGGCGTCCATTCGTCCATACTTTTAATAAAAAAAAACAATTATAAACAAAAACCCATTCTTCTTCGTCTTCATTCCTCCTCTCTTTTTCTTCGTCTCAAGTTGCCATGCTGTATATAAAGTGTAAGCTCACTTAGGACTTTCCAGTTTCATAATCTGTAACGTCTCATCACGATTCATGTTTCAAACACTCTCTGTATCCCACACGAGCTGAAATTGAATATTCTACCGAGATCTTTGCTGAAATAAATATACAGTATTGGTATATGCAAAGAACCAAATAAATGCGCATGAATGCGTATTGCCATGCATGGATTTTTCAAATGGTAACCATAATCAATCTTATCTTTTAACTCTCTTAAGCGTTTGTATGATGTAAGAATAACTTCCATGGAAACGACTAGTCGACTGCTTTACTTTTTTATGTAAAAGTTGTCGGCAAATAGAAGAAAGAAAGCAGAGAGCATAAAGTACACAGAGACAAGAGGCAATTACCAACACCAGCTGCCCAAACTTCTTATCTGGATAGCTTACTTGATTCTATTTTTTATTCTACTCCTTAACTCAGTCACAATGGCAACCCAAGAAGTGGAGAAGAAATCACAAGACACAGTGAAAGTGAAAGTCACCGGAAAAACCCACGTCAAGCCCTGCAAGATAATAGGAAGAAGAGAATGCCAATTGATCACCTTTGATCTTCCATATCTAGCTTTTTACTACAACCAGAAGCTGCTTCTTTATAAAGGTAATGAAGAGTTTGACGCCATGGTTGAGAAACTCAAGGACGGGTTGAAGGTTGTTCTGGAAGAGTTTCATCAACTAGCTGGGAAACTTAGGAAAGATGAAGAGGGAGTTTTTAGAGTGGAGTATGACGATGAAATGGAGGGCGTTGAACTGAGTGAAGCGTGGCTGAAGAGATCGGAGTATGACGATGAAACGGAGGGCGTGGACGATGCAATCAGTAGTTCCGTCCATTTACTGTTTACATAAGGGACGGCCATCCCTTAAGTGTGGACTGTCGTCCATACATAATGGACGGGCATCCATTAGTTACGGACGCCTGTCCAAACTTAAAGGACGCCCGTCCACAATTTATGAACAGGCGTCCAAATTTTTTATTTTATTTTTTAAAACAAATTAAGTTTGGACGGGCGTCCATTCCTTACGGACGCCCGTCCAAACTTAATGGACGGGCGTCCCGTATTTGCGGACGCTCATCCAAAATTAAGGGACGACCGTCCACAACCTATGAACGGCCGTCCATAATGTTTTGTAAATTTTTTTATTGTATTTTATTTATGGACGGGCGTCCTTTAAATGGGGACGTCCGTCCCTGGTATATGGACCTCGTCCATATAATATAGACGGGAGTCTATGTGAGTGAACGGCCGTCCAAATTCGATGGACAGCCGTTCACTAAAAAAAATTGATAAAAAAAGCAGACGCCTGATACACATAGGCCGATACACATTTTCGATGCAGATTTTTTGGTATCCGTATCTTAGTTGCTCACTGATTATTAACTATGAACCATTGAAGTCCAAAGAAAGTGATGCTTTGAGATTAATTGTTTTGGCTCTCTTCATCAGATTTCCAATTCATTATATTAGAATGAATAGAACGAATTGATATTTATAAAATGAGCATTCTTTCATTCTCCCACTAACCAATGACTAAATCTTTATTTAAGTACACTACTACCTCGAGAACAAGTATCTTTTCATACTCAATAACACAAAAACATTATGAAATACACGATTTACGCAACAAACATAAGAAACCAAAATTGTCGTCTTGTAAAGATTTACATGACGACGTTGCGACAGTACCCCAAAGCATAAAACCTAAATATATTCTTTAAAAGATGATAAAATGTACATCATGCATTGAAAATTACAAACTTAACTTCCTCTGGCGTAAAAAAACTATTTATATTTACAATTTCTCAGGACGCATGTGTGGTTGCTTCAAAATGTCAGCCGTTGAGAGGATGCAAATTATGTTTTTAACAACAATGTCCACAGGTACCTCTGATGGGGGAAACAAAGTTTAGATGGTGATGATTTTCCAGAGATTTTTGTGCTTGTAGACCTTTTTCTGGTATATGATTAGGCAGGCTCACGAGGACAAGTGACCCAAATAGAACTCAGAGCTCTAAGTCGTTGGAAGTACTCCCCCAACGCAAGCAAGCCTCAAGCTGCTTGGCGAGTTGTTAGGATACGAGGCATCTGCTGTAGCATTTCCTGGTGAAAATGGTCAGCCTGTTTGGACAAGAAGTAGAAGAAATGCAAATTCGACTCACTAGAAAGTTTCTCAATTTAAATCAGATGTGCTGATAAAGAACTAATTGACAGATCAGAAAATGGATTACTGAAAGATATTGAAAGTACAGATAGCATGCAAATAGAAACATCAGCTATTCTTACCTGGTTCACAAAGACGACTAGAGCTTCCAACTTCTCCATTGCAGTAGGTATCCGTGGGACGTAACCTCCTCCTACCAGTTGACCAGCAGCTACAGTTTCAGCAAGAGTTGATTACAATTTCTCCATGCCTTGAGACAGAGCATCTGATTAAGCAATATGTGAAAGAGCAATATTTACACATATATATAATATATTATCCATAAATACCTTCAATGGAGCAAATTATTTCACTTATTAAATAAATAGAAATATGAATCACCTTAAGAAGCTCAGAAGGGCGAAATCCTCCAATCCAAAAGAAAAACGTTCGGTTGCTGTCTTCCACATGCTAGACATTACATAGAAAACATCGGCTTTTGCAGCAATAGATTTCATGCGAAAAAGTTCAAAATAGTGGCTCATGCCACCCTCCACTAGTATGTGAAGCTCTATATCACTAATATGGGCCTGCAAAGCAGACCACAGTTCACAAGTTTGCCTATTTTGCTCTTCAACCCGGTGTCCATACTCCATCTCAAATGAAGCAATTCCTGCACAAACCTCGATGAGGATTTTTTGTTGAATGCAAGAACATAAAATGACAAAAAGTAGTGTTCTATAAGCAACAGGAATTACTGGAAATCAAATCACAAAGAACACATTCAGCACATCAGAGATTATATACATAGCTTCATAAGACAACATCAATTTTCATGGTGGTGTCAAGTTTGCAAAGCGTTGGAAACTTGTGCTTATGGATGGCTGGAATCTTTTGCCAGGAACATTTTCGAGACATTTAATTTATAGACTGCATTGAAATGACTTCTGTGTGGATGGAGAAGTTATGAAGTCTTTCTTACATACTCTTTACAAGCACTTGAAAAAATGGCGGAAAATTAAAATGAAGATTTAGGAAATAAAACTATGAACATATTGGGGGAATCATGCTTTGAAGGGAACATGATTAAAACATTAGATAGCAGGAGCATACACTGAGTGGTGATGGTAAGCTAGCAATACCAAAATTCCACAAACAGTCTAATTATCAAGCGAACACTCTAGGTCCCCAGAGTCAGATACCAAAACACCGCAATTAGAGACATGCAATTTCAAGAAATAGCAACGCCTGTGAGTGAGGACATCAAAACCAGAAGTAATTCAACAATATTTTGACAAACCTGAGTTTACAGGTCCAGAGAACCCCATCGTAGAACCTTCTACTCCACCACCTATATACAAACCCTGCAGTGTAGCATTCGTTGTTTCAAATATTTGAATGAGAATAGGAAATAGGAGGGAAAGGGTTTCTAGTGTCATAACACCAATCGACTAAACAAGAAACAGAAATAGTAAATCTTCTCTATACCTGTTGTCTAGCTTGCTCAAGCTCTTGCTCCAACTTTTCTAACTTTAATCTACTAGATTCTAGCTACTGAACATAGGCCTGCAAAACAAACACAAATTAAATTTAAAATCCCAATCCACTTGTTGCATGTTAGGGAATCTGTTTAAAAGCAGGCCTCATCATACCTTTTTCCACAACCGGCTTTTAGAGCAGCCTCACGGTTTTGTGCAAGACGTCTTTGTATCTGCAGAATTTTGTACCAAAAAAAAAAAAAAGAAAGAAAAAAGACTCATTTCATGTTGAAGGGAATATCATTTAATATATTAAAAAAACCATATACAAAATTAGCCACAACCTATGGCTCAAATTGGTCAATTGTGAGAATGAATGCATTGAATACAGTGAAGTCAAAGGTAGTGCATAGTACATTAAGTTATGTGCCAATTCTGGGTTTTGTGCAGATATAGACTATTTAAGTAATTTCTGAGTCAATCATGGAGAAGAGGATAAATTTGAAAACAGTTATAATTCAAGAAAGCAAGAGAAAACAACTGAATAGTATATGCTAACATTAGCAAAATACAAATATATCAGATTACAGAGCAGTCACCAAAAGTCCTAGCGAACTATTTCAAAAACCACCTTCATTGCATTAATACATGAACCACTTTTTAGGAGTGTAATATTTGAATAGTTTCAGCCAATTAGGCAAACATTAAGCAACCATAATTTTAGAGAAGAAACAAGGAAGATGCCTTACCTTTTTCTATTCTATTGTTTTCATCTCTTTTCCCAGAAGATGCCTAAAATTAAAAAAAAAAAAACTCTAAATCACAAGGGTTAGGGTTTAGGGTGAGGCAATGAAATTGGCAACTGAGACAATATTTGAGCAGGATGACTTTTACCTTATTTCATAAACTCACCTTGTTGGAAAATATTGGTTCATAAGATCATAAATCCAACTTAGGAGCAAATAAAATTACCATTTCATGAGATCCAACTGTGATATTGTATAGAGAAAAAAAAAAAAAAAAGTCCATCAATAAGATATCATCCAAAAATGTTTGTAATAATCAAAAGCTGAGCTTTTTTACAATAAATCACAACAACAACGCATCAACATGAACCTTGTAAAACAAAAACATAAAACTTGTGACATGTACTTTTACATGGTATTATATAGCCACAGCATAGCCATAGAAAGAAAGCAAACTAATTAAGCAAATACAAGAAACAAAAGCAGCCTCAGAAGGCAAAAACATCAGGAAAAGCCCAGAAAAACCAACCAGAGTTTCACATAGAAAACAATTACCCAGATAGTAGCAGCTTACAAGAGTAGAAAGAGCAATCAACATCATTTCACTGCCTACAAAACCAAACATCATCAATATTAGATAGTAACTATGTTGAATCACAACACAGAAAGTATCCGGCAGTAAAAGATCATATAGCAGTAGCCTTCATCTAACATATCTAATTAAATAGTTCAGCACCATAATCTGAATTCCAGGGAAGAAAATCCGGAGAATTTCAGAATGACAGCCATCACAATATGTGTCGACAGGCCAAGCTAAAATATTATTGTTAGTGTGTGCACCAGAGACAAAACAAGACTGAAACAATCACTGTAAATTTTGCAGTATTGTCTTTCATTGTTAGTCAGCTTGAACTTCTTTCATTACTTGGTTAGCTTCCTCCCACAACAGAGTAATGATCCTGTTAATCCTTTCCCATAAAGAATATATCCTTCTATGATGAATAGTACTTTGGCGTGTTTTTGCAGCTTTTTGCTTTCGTTTCAGTCATCTGGGAAGGCTGCAAACTGACTAGCATCAGAAAGAGGCAATTCTGCAATTCAGGAATTGAATGAATAATTCATAAAAAGAATTGTGCGACCTGATGTACACACAATATGCATGGGATGGGTTGCTGTCTCAATGGGGCCTTTCATCCTCGTCAGAGGAGAAATTATCAAATGTCCCTCACACTTTGAGGCAAGGAATTTTTTATTTGAAAGAAAAATGAAGACTATGCCTTCACCAGATGAATGCTTGATATTAAGTAATAATAGCAGTTCAAACTGCAGAATCTAGAGGGCATGGCATGGATTCACCTAAATATATAGTAATGCAAAACAAGACAAACCAAATATAATGACCAATATAAATTGCAGAAAGCTAGCTTCAGAAGGCAACAAAAAGTAAGCTTTACCTTGAAACCATTGAACTATTATGCTGGACACCACTACAACTATACAGAATACCAATGAAATCATATAGGACGTATAATTCTTCACCCATAAATCATATAGTCAGATAACAAGGTTACAATGCATGTTCAAACTGAAAATGCATGGCTAAAAGTAATACATATATGCAAATAACAAAGTTTAATTGAGTATGAGAAGCATCCAACGCTGGAAAGAGTTGTTACAAGGTTTAACAAGTAATGATTTACTAAATAATTTGAATTCAATGTTTGAGTCCACTTACCTTATAGAAGAAAGAACAAAGTGGCCAAAGTTTTTGAGGGCATAACTATGAGAAAGTTACTTTCTAGTTACCCACATGGCCGCATATGCGTTAAGTCCATAGAAACCATACAAAACAAGGCCTTTCTTTTATTAAGTTTTTGGTTAATTTAATCCAACTTACCGTGCCTGTTTACTGGTCGCTTTTATATTTCTAAATGTAGGCACCAGCTATAGGTTTCAATCTCTGGTCTCTGTCCACTTTTGCATCTGTTCCCATATAATTATCTTTGTCGTACAACAATGTGACTCCACACTTTTTCACCTTGCTGAAATCAATGCTATTCTCACTTCCATGCTCAACAAAGAACATAATGTAGCCCTCACTATTCAAATTGAGTGTAGGCAATTCATCAAACATGATAGCAAAATCATATCCAACGAATACATGATCGAATTCAATAACCTCATGCCCATTATATTCAAACAAATGGCCAAAGGAAACGATCTCCTTGTTAACAAGCAAACGAAATCTTACTGTGAAAGTTCCAAGCTCTTGATAGTCTCGAAAAGATGCAACAGCACAGAAAGCAAAACCAATTAAGTTATCACTGAGCCAACCTACTAGAAGTAATACCACTCTGGAATTTTGCTTCCAGGGTAACATATACAAGCACTTGACGACAATATCGATCGCTGCAAGTAGTCTCTCGTTACCTGTACCAAGAAAATAATCAACTTTTGATCTTCTTAATTGTTTCAACTTCCCTTTAAGGTTTGCTTTAATGCCAATTAGGTCCTTGTAAAATATATATAAAGACGTTTTTAAGTAAGTTTTGTGAGAACATTATATTTATTTGTAAGAGATCATGCGTGATAAATCCAATTGTATTTAACTATTGTCCTCACAAAAATTACTACCTAAAGTTCATATTCCATTTACTACCCAGAATTTACTTCCCAATTCGGCGACAAACAAAGAGCAAATTAGTCCAGGATGTTAGAGCTTTTGAAGAGAAGATGTTGTTGAGTCTTTTAGTAGTGGCAGACTAGATTTTAATGGTTGAGGTTGGTCATAATCTAACTTGAGAGGGGCGGCTGTGTGTTCTATAAATCGCTCGATTATCGAAGATTGGCAAGGTCGATGGGATCAAGGTTTGAAGGTTTTAGTAAATGATGATCGAGGAAGAGAATGGTGGCGGTGAGGGTTGCAACAATATTGGAATTGGCTGGCGATTGGTCAAAATATAAACTTGGGGTAGTAAATTGGTATTTTGAAACTTTTTGGGTGAGAAAGGAGTAAGGCAACCCTTGGTTGGGAAAAAAAGTTGTGTACTCTTAATACAACATTAACCGTACTAAGTTGACGTGCCCCTTCCACAAGTCCACTTACTGCGGTCAGTGCTTTTTACCTTACGCTATTTTTGTTGCTTAAAAAAGATGTGATAGATAGATGAATAAAATATTTTTAAATAATTTATCATAATTAAAAGTACTCACAAAAATATAATATTTAGTTCATTTAATGTAAATAACTAAATTATTGAATAACATTAAAGCTGATTTGAATAATATAATTATTTATTTATTGGTTATAATTAACATTAGAAAATATTATTAGTTTGTAATAGTAATATTAAAAAATAAGAGCATATATATAATTAAAAATAGATTATATATATGCTTAGTATCATATGAAAAGAGAGTGAGAGAGAGAGACTTACTTCTTCTTCAGGGAAAAACAGTTAGATAAGCAATTGATGTAATTTCAGTTTGAAACAATTGATGAAGCTAATCGTGTAAAACGTGCTTGGGCACAGACTTGGTAAACCTGATAATGCTTCAAGTGAGGTGCAACCCTGTGCCTCTATTGTCTCTAACTGCTGTGGAAGCTCCGGTAAGGATTTAAGCTTCTTGCAATTGCGTAAATCAAGCCATAACAAGTTAGAGAGGTCTTTGATGCTCACTGGTAGGCTCTCAAAATTGTTTCGGCCCAGATATAATCTCACCAGTGAGCGTATTTGGCTAAGATCGTTGGGTAACACTTCGATACAACAGTCAGTCAGATCTAGTTTCCACAACCACCAGCTTGGGAAAGGATACTCTAGGAAACTCAGCACCTCCAGATTCCTACATCCGGCCAAAGATAACTTGTCGAGGAATTTCAAACATGTTATAGATGATGGTACTTCTCTTATAGCAATTCCCTTGACTTCAAGTATCTTCAATGCTTTTAAATTTCCCAAGCTGTTAGGCAATCTGTCAAGTTTTGAACAATCCGAAAGATAGAGATATTCAAGAGATTTCCACTCACAAATATTCTCCGGGAGACTCTCAAGCCTTGAACAGTTTTTAAGACTTAATATTACTAGTCTAAACAGATGCTCTAATGACGACAATTCTTTTATTGCAGTTCCATCTAAATATAACTCTTCTACGGTACTAGGGAAGTATGGAACCATTTTGAGATTTGAACAATTGAAAAGAATAATTATTTCAAGAGATTTTGTTTCTGGAACAAAAAATAAAATTAAAAGAACATAAATAACCTACAAATATTTACAATTTAAAGCACAAAATGAAAAATAAAAGTTAACATATACCTGGTCCCCATTCCAAAGTTGTTTAACTTTGCTAAAAGGCATGTGGAGTGCAACAAGGTTTTTTGGATTAAAATTTAGTGGCAATGATTTGTCAGAATATCCATCCCAGCGAAGGTACCGTAGCTTAGAGAAATCAGATTTTATGACTTCGAAAGCATGTACCTTTTTATCATTCCAGCAGCCATGTACTTCCAAGAATCTTAGGTTATGCATCTTCTTGAAAGATTTAGGATTTAAATGTAGCTGTCTTACTTCAGACATATCCAAGCGCATGCCTAGAATAGCTCTGGTCCCCTAATAATCAATAGCAGATTGATGATGAGTTAGTATTACATAGCTTAATTACATTAACTATCAAGTAATTAACTTTCTTTTAAAAAATGTAATATATTCTACAAACTGGAATTGAATGTTCTACAAACTAATATTTCATAATATCTCAAATAAAACATAGAAATAAAAAATTAATGTCTTTGGCTCTCACCGCATTATTTGTCAATACTGAAAAGATATCCTCATGATCCAAAAGCCGACTACGTTTGCTAGGATCATTAGGTGATTCCTGACAAACGATATCTCTACCCATTTCTTGAAGTAAATCATGCATTGTTATGGTGTTCAATGATGCGGTTATGAGAGACCTTTCAATCAGAACATTAATATCAAAATGTGGGGCTATGCCACAGCCATCCAAGATTGCTTCTATAAGATCTCTATTATACCCTTTAAAGAAACAAGCAATATCCAAAAATACCTCCTGCTCTTCATCATTTAGCCCATCATAACTTACTTTTAATACCTTTTGGATATTCATATCAAGAATTCTCGTTAATCTTTTTATATAGCTTTCCCATTCTTTCTTTGTCCTCTTATATAGAGAGGAACCTAAAACTTCAAGAGCAAGTGGAACACCTTTAGCATATGATAACACCCTCTTAGATAGCTGCACAAAATCTTTTGGGGGAAGGTTTTGTCTAAAGGCGTATCGACTAAACAATTCCAAAGCTACATCATCAAATAATATTTCAGTTTCATATATGTAATCCACTTCACATTTTTCTAATACTCGTTTATCTCTTGTCGTTATCATGAATCGACTTCCTGAACCCAAATACTCAAAATGTCCAATCAAAGATTCAATTTGCTTTAGATCTGTCACATCATCAAACACAATGAGAACTTTCTTGCAAGCAAGCCTTTTTTTGGTGAAGGGGGATCCTATATTGGCATGTTTATCCTTTAAAATTGCACGAATAAGTTTTTTGTGCAACTTAGTTAGCCCCTTGCTTTTCTCTGATTCTTCTCTAATATTTTTAACAAAGTAAGAGTTTTCAAAATGTCTAGAGATTTTATTGAACGCAGCACCAGCAAGAGTGGTCTTACCTATTTCACCAATACCCCAAATTCCTATCTTGCGAAGACCAAGAAACCCAATGAATAGTTGCCATTCAATATACTCGATTCTAGAATCTACCCCAACTAGGTTCTTGTTTAATTAAGGGAGAATCCTCATTCAATATCTCCAAAATATTTTCGACAACTTTCTGTACAAGTATAGACTCAGACCTACCAAATATAAATAAAAAAAAAAAAAAAAAAAGGAAAATACTCAAATTAGATAAATCAAAACGAAAACAATGTACATTTTCCATCCTTGGATATGTGACCAATGGAAAAAAAATTTGGATGTCAAATAGAGTTTGAACCTTTGCACATCCTTAACAATAATAATTAATTTGACATATGTCATATATCTCAATGCAAAAAACATTATATAGCCTAATAAAAAAATCAATAAAAGTTAAGCTACCTAATAAAAAACTGAACTAGTAGTTTGCTATCAAATGACATCATATTTAAACATTAACACAGGATCAGCCCTCCAAAACAAAAGAGTTTAAAAAAATTGTCACTAAAACTCAATATCTTTCATGTATCTACTATTTCTTTTACATTTCTCTCCAAACCCTTAATGCCAAAGAACTTATCACTTGTTTTAACTTCATATTATTGGTTCTTATCGTTTTTTTCCTTTCCTAAAGAGACCAAAAAAACATTGATTTGTCAGACAACATGATTTTCACAGTGTAAAGTAATAATCTAAGAGTACATATGGCTTAGTTTTAATATAAAATGATAACTTTCCATATATCACGTCTACCAATGTTTCTATTTAATATCACATGTGGACGACAGTTGAGTGATACACAATTAAAAAATATTAAATAGTTCAACCAATGATTAATGCTAAATTGAAACGAAGAATTAAATAAGTCAAATAAGTTAAATGAAAAACAAAAAATCAGCAGAAAATAAAAGTATTAACAGTCACCTGATGACATTTGAATCAAAGCCAGACAGATTGGCAGCTTCTCTCAAAGCAGTCCTCCATCTCTGCAATGTTTCTTGCGAACCCTTGAAACGTTTTTCAAGCTTAGAAAATGAGTCCCAAAAAGTCTCAATCTGATTCCTTACATATGATGGATATACACCATAGAAAACAGGGATTACAATCTGACCATAACTGTTCTTGCATTCAAGGATCTTTACAAGTTCTTCAAGGCACCATCCTGAAGAAGAATACTCTTTTGAGAAAATGATCAAGGAAATCTTTGACCCTTCAATTGCATTCCAAAGAGATGGAGAAATTTGATCCCCTGTTTTAAGCTCGTCATCAACGAATGTATTGATCATTTGTTGACACAAAGCGGCATACAGATGGCTAGTAAAATTATTGTGGGTATCCTCACCTCTGAAACTAAGAAAAACATCATACTTCTCTTGAGGAGAAGATGAAGAAGAAGCAGCAGCCATTAACTTCCAGTGATGAGAATTACTTGACATTAACAAAAACATAAAGAGCTAAACCAAGACAACATATAAATGAGTCTTTGCATCAATCTCTAAGTATTTCAACTTATCTCCTTGCCTAGAAGATGTCTTGCCTTTTTTCTTTTTCTTTTTTGACTAGACTAATAATTGCAACCCCAACAAACAAGTAATAAGCCATTCACATCTGGTGTGATTGTGACACAAATTCATTAATTCCACACGAGAAATTCCTCAGCAAGGGTTCACATTTAGTTACACCCAAAAGTTTCCAAGTCATTACAATTTAGTTAAATTCCCGATCTACCCTTCTACATCGCCCACTATTTGCTGTTAACTTTGTCTCTGCAATCATGAAAAACTGTTATTATAACAAAAAATATTATAACAATTTATTGAATTACATAAAATAAAATTAATTTTTGTGTGGTTTAGTCCTTGGTAAGGACACTGATCCATTTCTATTTCTCTTATTTCAGTCTTTTTTATTCTGCAGAAGAAAGAAACAAAGAAACTCATAAGTTTGAAGAAGTCATATTTCAATACATGTTATGTGCTAAAAAAATCAATGCATTGATATACTAAATTTTTTGCCTTTTAATGCCCTTGATGTATGCACTAAGGGCACGTGTTAAAATAATCCTACTTAATAATATTATTGCAAAAACATTATTAAACAAAAAATTACATGCAAAAATTAGTGAAGTATTCACTTAAGCTTATTAAAAGTCTCCTAACAAAAACAAGTGTGCGATTGTAAATTGTAGAGCAATTTGGATATATGACTAGAGGAAGTCAAGTCATGTTAATTAATTTTATGCGATTGATGTGCTAGCAATCCATCTTTTCTTCCATATTTTTATCGACAAGGGTAGAAATTGTAATATAAATTTCGAAAGAAAAGAAAGTTTTGTTACTTTGAGATAGGGAGATCACTAAAGAAGGTCAAAAAAATGTGTTATCAAATTAGTTATTTGAAAATGAAACAAAGATAAACATATGCGTTGAAAATAACAAAGATAAATACGTGCATTAAAAATGTACTAACCTTTGATGTAATAAATTAAAAAGTTAAATTATATTCTATGAAAGTAACATACTAATTTAGACTCTAAATTGAAGAAATAAAATATAATTTCAACTAATAAAGCTGAAATCCTATGAAATCCCTACATACTTTTATATAAATTATGTAGTGTTGGAACTTAAATATTATTGTTAAGCCCTAAAGAGATTTTTTTTTTTTTTAGAAATAAAAATAATTACATTCACGGTATGGTACAAAAAGTTGATAGTCGTCCAAGTCAGCAAGTCAATACAACTAACATAGAAATTTTCCACATTCAATTTGAAGTGTAAGATAAGACAAGTTAGAAACTAAATAATAGTATTTTCGAAGGAATAGTTTTTGGAAAATAATTCATAAAAGATCTATTTCTAGGTTGTTGCTTATCTCAAATCTTTGACATTCAAAACAAGTGTGGAAATTGTAATATAACTTCCAAAAGAATAGAAATTGTTGTTACTTTGAGATTAATAAATCACTAGAAAATGTCAAGTCGTGTTATACAGTTATATTAAAAAGATATGTTATCACATCAGTTTCCTATCTTTTTAAAACAGACTATACTTTCTTAATCCCCTTAACACGACCAATTTATTCAATTCTTTTAATTCATTTTTAATTGATGGAGAATTCAATAACTAAATCACTAAGAGCTAAGAAAAGGAAAGAAGAAATAGATGGAAAAAAATATATAAATAACGAAGAAATAAACAATTGTGCAATTGTAAATTGTACTCTTAGTTGGATAGATCTCAATAAACCTCCTCTTACCTTTGACATTATTATTATTAACAATCTCATTCTTAAACTATGTTTTATTAAAACCTCTTCTTAAATAAAATTATTTCAAGAACATTATTGAACAAACAATCACATGCAAAGATTAATGAAATATTCGCTAAAGCTTATGTAAAGTCTCTTGATAAAAGTAAATGTGTAATTGCAAATTATATTACAACCTGGACAAATCATTAAAGGAGGTCAAGTCGTGTTAATTAATAATATGAAATTAATGAGCCAACAGTTCTCTATCTTTTCTTTCGTGTATATCTTATCAATAAGTGTAGAAATTGTAATATGACTTCCAAGTTACTTTAAAATGGATAAATCACTAAGAGAAGTTAAATCGTGTTATACGGTTGTATTAAAAAGAGTTGTCCTATAAAATATACACAAAATGAGTGTAGACACCACAACACAAATCCTAATTTCTCAACCCGCTTAATCCATTTTATTAATTCTATTTTTTAATACCTAATTTCTCAACCTGCTTAATCCCTTTTATTAATTCTTTTTTTTAATACCGAAATTCAATTATTTTCTTTCGTTTTCAATTGATGGAGAATTTGATAATTGAAATTCCAGTTGAAATGTCGGGCAAGTTTTCGGATCCTGGAGTCACTAAACCTAGGAACTGCGAGTCAAAAAAAGGAAAGGAAAAAAGACAAAAAGGGCGATTTATGAGCTTATTCAAATTCTGCCGGTGAACATATATTCCATTGGATATTTATTTACTTAATTTCACATTAAATTGAATCCAGCTTCATTATTAACAATAATTCTCTTTGTTATAATACTTGTAAATGCCTTCCATATATCATGAAACTACGTATAATAGACCCTCTTAATTACTAAATAGTATTGTTTTAATGTGTGCTCTAATAAGGATACATACATTGATATACAAAATTCTTTGTCTTTTAATGCCCTTGATATATAAACTAAGAGCATACTGTATGATAATCCTACTGAATAATATTATTGTAAAAACCTTATTGAACAAAAAATTACAAGCAAAGATTAGTGGAGTATTTGCTTAAGCTTATTCAAAGTCTCCTAACAAAAACAAGAGTGCAATTGCAAATTGTAGAGCAATTTGGATATATCAGCAGAGGAAGTCAAGCCCTGTTAATTAATTTTATGAATTAATGTGCTAGCAATCCATCTTTTCTTCCGTATTTTTATCAATAAGTGTAGAAATTGTAATATAAATTTCAAAAGAAAATTAATTTTGGTTACTTTGAGATAGATAGATAAATCACTAAAGGGGGTCAAGTCAAACTGTATTATATAGTTGTATTAAAAAAATTTGTCATCAAATTAGTTCCTTAAAAAATGAAACAAAGATAAAACATGCATTGAAAATGTATTAACTTCCGATGCAATAAATAAAAAAGTTCAATTATATTTAATAAAAGTGATATACTAATTTAGACTTTAAATTGAAGAAATAAAATATAACTTTAACCAATACAGCTGAGATCCTTTGAAAAATCCTTACATACTTTTATAAATTATGTAGTGTTGGAACTTAAATATTGTTGTTAACCCCTAAAGAGATTTTTTTTAGAAATAAAAATAATTACAATCACAACATTGTAGAAAAAGTAGATAGTCGTCTAAGGCAGCAAGTCAATACAACTAACATAAAAATTTTCCACATTCAATTTGAATTATAAGATAAGACAAGCTAGAAACTAAATAACAGTATTTTAAAAGGAATAATTTTTTTGGAAAATAATTAATAAAAAGTCTATTTCTAGATTATTGCTTATCTCAAATCTTTGACGTTCAAAACAAGTGTGATATAACTTTCAAAAGAATAGAAATTGTTATTACTTTGAGATAGATAAATCACTGTCAAGCCATGTTATATAATTGTATTAAAAAGATGTGTCATCACATCAGTTTCCTATCTTTTCAAAACAAACTCTAATTTCTCAATCCCCTTAATACGTCCAATTTATTCAATTTTTATCTCAAAATTCAATTCTTTTCATTCATTTTTAAGTGATGGGGAATTCAATAACTAAAACATTGAGAGCTAATTCAATAACTAAATTAGGAAGGGAAAACTAAGTCGTTTATTTTTTATTGCCTTTATAGAACAATATGTTCTCTTGATATAAGCGTTTACCTGAGCTAATAAAGTGTTTTATATATTAGCTGCATCAGTATAATTTTCAGTTTAGTTAACACAATAGACTTTGTTCTTTAGAAATTGTAAAATTTTCGTTTCGTTTCACTTACAAATGAAAAGATCACTACAGGAGCTAATCAAACCCTGTTATTTGCTTTATAACACCTTTTTTTTTTTTTTTTGGAATTGCTATGATATTCTAATTAGCAATATATTAAATTATTGGCAGTTAAGGAAATATTTTATTCAATATATAAATTATAATGGTATGCTATTAAAGTATTAGTAATATGATGACATCTTTTTTAAAAAAAAAAAAAAATCCAGAATGCATCTTCTTGAGAAAATAATAATTTTTTTTTTTTTCAAGAAAACTCGGTAATTGTATAAAAAAACGAAAGAATACAGGGAAAAGGGACACCCCCACACTCTCTTACCTTGGACAAGCCCAAGGAAGAAAATAAAGCAAAAGCCTAAAAGCTGGATGTACAATCCATTACAACAGGCTTAACAAAAAAATAAGGCTGGGACAAAAAGAAACAACAATTTACAAAGCAAAAACAAGCCCAAACCAAGGCTAGAGCAAACCAGCCTTCTGTCAACTTACACAGCAGAAACCCAAAGTCTCTCTATTCCTATTAGCAGCAAACAGATGATCTATTCAACCATTAATGACTTCTTCCTCATACATCCTATTGCCTTTGACATTATTATTATTAGCAATTTCATTCTTAAATTATGTTTTAATGAAACCTCTTATTAAATAAAATAATTGCAGGTACATTATTGAACAAACAATCACATGCAAAGATCAATGGGATATTCGTTAAAGCTTATTCAAAGTCTATAATAAAAACAAGTGTATGATTGTAAATTGTATTGCAACCTAGACAGATCACTGAAGGAGGTCAAGTAGTGTTAGTTGATTTTATGAAATTGATGAGCCAATAATTCGCCCATCTTTTCTTTCGTATATCTCTTATCAATAAGTGTGAAAAT